TGACCTCGCCGTTCTTCACGGCATCGAGGACGGCCGCGGGCTTACGTATCCTCGGGGGCCCAGGCATCTCAATATCCATGCCGGCCTTGACCCCCTCTGCCACGGAGTTCGTTCCGCCCCAGTCGCTCATGACTAGCCCCTTCCATCCCCACTCGCCTCGAAGAACCTCCTTCAGCAACCACTCATTCGAGTCGCAGTGCTTCCCGTTAATGAGGTTATAAGCAGACATGATTGCCCAAGGCTTCGCCTCCTTGACCGCAATCTCGAACGGCTTGAGGTAAATCTCTCTCAACGCCCGCTCACTAATCGTCTCGTCCACCGTCGTCCTCGCAGTCTCCTGCTCGTTGGCGACGAAATGTTTGATGGTCGCGCTCACGCCCAGACCCTGGCACCCCTGAATCATCTCTGAGGCCAGCTTACCTGCAAGGAAGGGGTCCTCGCTGTAGCTCTCGAAGTTGCGCCCTCCTAGCGGGTGACGGTGGATGCAGACTGTGGGCGCGAGAAGACAGCGTGCTCCCTTTGCTTTGGATTCCTGGGCGAGAGCCGCACCGACGGAGCGGGCAATGCGTCGATCAAAGGTCGCTGCTATGCTGCAGGCAGCGGGGAAACACGCTGCTTTTGTGCTGCCGTCTATCGCGGCGCCGCGGGTGCCATTGGGGCCATCAGTTGTCTGTGACGATATGGTCAATTCTGAGCCTCTGGTACCTATATGAAGCTGTTGGGGTTATGGATACCTTGATTGCTGGTACGCCTTTATCGGGGACATCGCCGGTTTCGACAAAGTTGCGGCCTGCGAGAAGGCGGATCTATGAGTGAGGAGTAAGCGATACTACGTTACAGACCTTACAAGGAACCTTACCTTTTCTTCAAGAGTTAACGTCTTGAGGATAGCTTCAACATCTGTTCTTTCTGCCATTTTGAATGAAAATATCGTCTTCAGCCAATAACTCTCGTCCTAGCTTTCATTATCATCAACTCATCACGGCCTGGGGGTTCATTTATTGCCCCGCGACGATGCCCCGCGGATGAGTTGAAGGCGGGGGCCTTACGGAGGTCGGAACTCGGAACGGTAAAGGCACATGGATGGGGTCTCCAGAATCCCTCCGCATTCTGTGAGCTGCCCTGTGGAGGGATGGCGGATAGCAATGACGACTTGCAGACTAAGAATCAGCTACAGATGTCTTCGCCAATAGAGGCGTTTCGAAATGCTCAATTCGGACCAGTAGCTTCACCCGCGATCGGCTGGGATGGGTCAAAGTTCGGAAGACGGCCGGGAAACTGAACCGGGACATATCTACGTTCAGGTGCGCTGACCTCCGCGGCCTCAGCCGTCGTCTAGATACTCATGTTGACCCGAAACTGAGACGCCGTCGAGATGTCATAAAGGGCTGAATGAGCAGGGAAACCGGCCGACTTTGCATGTACTGACCAAGGGGCTCTTGAACTGGACTGGCAGACTGGGAAATTCATGCTGACTCATTCAGTTGGGCCAATTTTATTGATCCCCTAAGTCCCTCAAGTGTGTTCAGCCACTCAGTTGCTGTGGCTGCGCGGAATTCATTGGAATGAGCCACCAAAGTTCATCTTACTAGTGGCGCCCAAGCTGACGTGAGATAGCAGAGTTGATCTCATAGCAGCGCAGAATCAGATCAACCGGCAACTCTGCGCGCCAAGCCCACCCACCTGTGAAAAGCTTGCGGGTTCTGGATAACCAAAAGATCTTGCGGGTAGATCCCTTGCTCTCGGGCTGCGGCAGGCCCCAAAATGCAGCGTTTCGCTGGCAGGTCACGCCCAGAGAGCCCGTTGTGCGGTGCCACATGTTCTCAGGCCCATGTCAGGTACAGGTCCACACGGTTGAGGCGGTCAGCGGGAAGTCTAACCAGTGAACCGGGACAAACGGCCTGTTGTGACACCGCCTCAGATGAGCCCCTGAACTCAGTGACGAAGCTTTTGGAATATCACTTTTCGTGCTCGTGTTCATTGAGAAAAAAGGAAGAAAACAACATGGAAATCAGCACCTAAGACGATGCTGGCGAAGTATGCGGAGTTTGAGGATCTCGGTGGGTGTCTAGCGGCGGACATGTCGCGTGGAAAGTTCAGACGGCTGAGCCGCTCGGGGCTGAAGTTGGCCCGCCTCACATTGCTCAGCTACAAAAGTCACCGAGGGGGCAAATTGAAGAAGCTCTTTGGCTCTGTTCGCTCACCTCTTCTAGATGCCCTCTCTCAGTCTTGGAGTAACTTGAGTCCGGCGAGATGGTATCACTACAACCAAGGACTAGTATGCTGCCTGACGCAGGGGAACCTGAAAGAGACTATGGAGATGAATGAAAGAATTCAAAAACAAAGCCTAATGTCCACTTGGTCTTTGTCTTGTGCCTGAGCCGCCGCCCGCGTCCTCCGCTCCGCCAGTTCCAAATTTCCCCCAACTGCAATTGGTGCACGTCATCAACTGCGACGGGACGTTCCACCAGAATAGAATTCGCCCTTTTTTTGCCCACGCTAAGATCCCCCTCTTGGACACTCTGCCCGTGTGTTCCTCCCTCTCGCGACGCGGGTCAGGCGGAAGCCTGCGTCCGGTTGACTAATCCTCCAATACTTAGTAGGCGTTGAACAGCTCTGACACAGTTCATAAAACGTACCCTTTGCCTTCTTGTGCTTTGAGTCCTCCTCTCATGAGACTCTTGAAAACTGTTCAATGCTCTCATCGTAAACTCACATAATCCGGCAAGCAAGATGGCTTCGACGGACGCCAACCTCGCGTCCATATTACGGGAGTCTCTCAAAGACCCCAATGTAAGAGGCTTCCATCGCGATGAGGAGGATACGTCCTTGCACACCCTCCCCAACGATGAGGAGTCCATAACGGCAGCCGAGTCTGACGACGACAACGCCAACACGCTCGAGCCGAGTACATCGTCCAACGGCTATACCTATGGCACCTCTCAGCCACCGTCAACGACAACTCCAAAGGCCACCGATTCCCTCCGGGCACTAGCAAACGGTCGTCGGCCGACCATTCTGCCAGAGCAGCCAACACCAGCTGATGATGCCTCGCCGCCGCCGCCGCCGACCCGCGCCTTGGCGCCGGATCTCCTCCGCGGACTGCTGATGATGTTCATGGCAATGGACCACAACGTAGTCGGCCTCAACGCCTGGCCACACTCCACCGGCGCAAACCACCAAGAATCCGACTCCGCTGTCGTAGAGCGCTGGAACGGCCACTTTGGCTACGCCGTCCGCATGCTCTCGCACCTCTGCGCCCCCGGCTTCACTTTCCTCCTCGGCATGGGCGTCGCGTATTTCGGCCGCTCCCGCCTCAAGATGGGCTGGTCGTCCGCCCGGATGGCGAAGCACTTTGCAACGCGCGCCGTCATTCTGACGGCCGTCTCGACGGTCATGGGGTTCGTGCTGACGCAGGGCCAGCTGTGGTTTCTTAACATGGTCCTAGTGGCGCTGGCGGTGGATTACCTCCTCGTCGGCCTCTTGTGGCTCGCTATCAACGAGACGGAGCCGTTGTTGGCTAACGTTCTCGATCGTTTCTTTGTAGGTACCGGTTGTGGAGGTGGTCGTCGTCGCGGCGACGGAAGTGAGAGAGCGCCTCTCCTCATTCATACGGGCCACGATAACTCGCCCAAGTCCAAGACTTCCGCTCGTGCCCAGCAGATCTCATGGCACATCCACAATGCTGTGCTCCTCGTCCTCGGCTTCGTCACGATTTGCTGGAACCACTGGGTGTCACCGACCCACGGAACCTGCGCCGCCGCCTCGTCTTCCCCCGTCACCGGCACGGCAGCAAACGACTTTTGGCGTTTCTGGTTCTTCGAAGTCAACCGCCCGCGCGTCATGTCCGGCTTCCCGCCGCTGGCGTGGCTTTCCTTTGCCATCCTGGGCCTTCTCTATGCGCGTATTATCCTCGCTCGTCCCTTGTCGCCCACGAAGCTGGCCTGCGGCAACGTCGCCGCGGGCCTCGTCTTCAGCGTTCTCTTCGTCCTCACACGTGTGCTCCGCATCGGAAACCTGTCCGAAGAATGTCTGCGGACCCCGGACCAGGCGGCGAGCCCGGACGCGAATCCGTACCTTGTTTCCGTGGCGTCCTTCTTTTACGTTGTGAAGTACCCGCCAGACTTTGCCTTCTTCGCATACACTCTTGCGGCAACGTTCTTCCTGCTCGCCATCTTTGGTTCAGTACCGCCGCGGCTTGCGACAAAGTGGCTCGGCGTGCTTCTCGTGTTTGGCACGTCCGCGCTGTTCTTCTATCTCACCCACCTCGTCATCCTCTTCAGCTTCTGCATGCTGCTGGTCGGTCTCTTCGGGCGCGAGAACGGCCTGCCTCCTCCAATGGACGGTAGGCCTGCGGTCGGGGTCAGTAACATTTGGGTTTGGTGGGCGAATTGGCTGGTTGTTATGGCGATCATGTATCCGCTATGTAGATGGTACAGCGCTTTTAAGAAGACGAGAAGTGCGGATTCGGTGTGGAGGTTCTTTTAGAGTTGACGGTCCGCCATGTCGTGATGGGTGGCTCGGATGGCGACATTGAATGCTCATCTAATCAGATGGCTCTCACTCATTCTCTTAACAAATATCACCACATCTTTGCATGATTGGGCTCTTGGTGAACACATGCAACGAGCAAACATCGTACAGTTGGCCTAATGGAGTTTAACAATTGACAAAAGAAACGCTTTGAATTGAGACTATTCAATCTGAGGGGTATGGACGAGGAGGGCATCGGCCCCCTCCTCAAGGCCTTCACAATTTCAACACAATTGCGACCGTGACACCATCCAAACATGGCCACATCAATAAAAACACTTCACTTCCATCTCGGCTGAGCACCCGGTTGAGGGTACGGCTGAACTCTCACCGACCTCCTTCTCGTAGCCCTTTGAGGCCGTGTCGCCGCCGGTGTTTCCGCTGCCGCTACCATGGGCGCTGCCGGGGTCTTCCCAGTCCGAGCCCGTGTCCTCGCAGCCGGCCGACCAGCGGCGGCACCATCTGAGCTAGGAGCAGTAGTAGTTCCCGTCTTCCCCAGCACGACTGCAGATGTTGTCTTCGGCTCCCTCTTCACCCTCTTTGTCGCTGTTGTCGTAGCCGTCGTCGGCCGCGTCGGTTCTGAGCGAGTCTGGCTTTCCACCCTCCGAGCAGTCCGCAGATTGCGTCCTTTTACCGGGCTTGACGGCACAGTCTGTGGCGCTTGTGTCGTAGGCGCAGTCGCCGTCGCCGCTGCTCTACCTGTCTTCGCCCTTGTTCTCAGTGCCGGCGCTCTCTTGGATACGCCCGTCTTGTGAGCGGAGGAAGTAGGAGCAGACGTCGGTGCCGGCGCCAACACCAATGGCTCAGAAGATCCCTCCGTCGTCTCCGCGGAATCAGTCGGCTCTGACTCAAGGTACTCCGTCACCATGGTAGGGTCCTCCTCCGGTGGAAGCTGGTCCGTCAGCCGCCGCGCCGCAGTCCACGCCTGGACTCTTTTGCGGCGTGCCGTCTCTTCATCTTCCTCGTCGTCAACTGCGTCGACATCGACATCAACATCGACGTTGACGCTCTCACCAGCTAGCCTCTCCGCGACCCTCAGCTTTGTCCACGACGACTTCATAATCTGCCGCTGCGCCTCGGACTGCCGTAACCACTTGCAAAACCGCTCATTCGACCTCTTCCACCTCCGGTCTTCCTTCTCCCTCGCTTCTTCCTCCGCATCGTCATCCTCTTCCATAGGAATAGTTACCGGCAAAGGCAGCGCCTCTTCGACGTGAATACTCGGCGACTGCTTCCTCAACTGCTCCCGATCCTCCAACGCAGTCACAGCCCTTCCGGCTTCAAAATACCGCCCAGCAGCCGAGATGGCCATCTCCTCCGCCGCCTCGAGGTTCGACCGAGCAAGCAGGCATACGTCGCCGTGGGTGCCGAGGTCGCGTCGCACGCGCTCCCGCCGGTCCTCGGCGGCCGCCAGCGCGGCGCGCAGTGCGTCAATGGCCTCGTTGGCGTCCTCAAGCTCCTGCATCTGCCGCTTCATGAGCGAGAGCGACGTCTCACAGATGTCGCGGGCCCGGGCCAGGGCGGCGTCGGCCTGGAGCTTGTCGCGCTCGGCATCATCCCGCTCCGTGATGGCGCATCGGGCGTCCGCAAAGTCAATGTGCTTGCCGCTGTGGCCGCAGTTCCGGCAGACGTCTGGGTCCATCTAGCTGGACTACCACTGCTCCGGCTGCCTAGAGTAGAAATGCACACTCTTTTCCGAGGTCACGGAGACGTTCGCGCTTGACTCAACCCCATGTCAGCACGCTCAGCCTTACTCATCGAGATCGCAAATGAAGGCATATTTAAGTAATGTGCCCCATGGGCAGATTCCCGCTGCAATCAAGCACGGGGTTTGTCTCACCTTTTGGTAGTTTGAAGATCTTGTTTCCCGCCGGTGGGGATATCAAAAGGAGGCTGTAGATGATGTAGGTAGGGGTCTAAAGGTGGACATTCGAACAGGAAAGGGTCCTGAGGTGAACGGGAACGAAGGAAAAGAAACCACCTCTCTCTCACAGCGTAATTGGAAGCACCTGGGCGGCGGGGGGTCACGATCCTCTTCATCATTGCAGAGGACCCCGTTTTACTCCAGGTCCAGGGGGATGTATGTGGATCTTTTGGAAGAGTTAGCGATATTGAGTCGACTCCATTTGTGCCCAGGTGAACGGCCCAAGGTTCGTATGAGGATACGTATGGGCTCTCGTATGCAGACACGTAATGCGCCATTCGGGGTTGAATAAAAGAGTCAAGAGCCAGTTGTGCCCTCAGATGCAGGTTTAGCAGCTCCTCGAACCTTGCTTTATGCTGAAGATCGTTCACAAACATGTCATGCGATGGCATCATGGCTGTGCTCAGTGCTGAGAAACTCTCGAGCAAACTCTCAAACCCCAGGAAACTATTCGTTTCCAACAGCCTGGTGCTGGTACCCATGCCTGCCGGCAGGAAGAGCAAGAGAACCCTGGCTGCAGCAGCTTCCTGCAAGTTTCCACACCATTACATGGCTTTGATGTCGATTCGCTCATCCTTTTCTCTGGTCTCATCAATGAGAAATCCAAGTTTCGGGGGAGTGGTTCGTTTCCAGCCGTTGCTCAGCCAAAGAAAAGGAGAATGGGGGCATGGAGCCATGGATGGATTTGTTCTTCATAAAAAAAGCAAAAGGACATGGGTTGAAGAAAAAACTGACTTTGAACGTTGGGTTTTCTCTTTGCAGTTCTCCACCGAAATTGCTACCAAATAGGGGAAAGCGGCTCAGGTGGCACACGGATACGGCGGGATTTTCATGACTCTCACTTTCGGTTACATTGTGACCCCCTGGTAAGGAGCTCCAGTTTCTGAATGGGACCGCCCCTCTGAGGGTCTCGTGAGCGTCAGGGGTCAGAGAAGGAGGAGATGAGGCGATCCCCAAGTTCCCAACCCTTTCTGTCAATCCAATGTCCCGGAGTCAGCTTGGTCTTTGTTTCATAAAGTTGTTCATGGCTATAATACAAGTATCATAAGTGTACAAACTTTCCATTCTAGAACCATTCCACGCAGGCATCCCGGGGTTTCGGGGGTCTCACGGTCTCAACCCGCGTCTCACTCTAGTACGGCCTGACCCGCCGCTTCTGCCGAGTAGCACCCGTAGTTCGTCGGGCCCGGCCCGTTGCCGCAGTAGCACCAGCATGTTCGGACTTCTCGATGTTTCTGAATGCGCGGCCCAGTGCCTCTTCTATCGAATCATCAGACGCCGGATGAGAGCTGTCCTCGCGCTTCGAGATGCCTCGTGTCGCCCTTTCATTGGTATGACCCCACAGCAGTCTGCGGGGACTCGACATCATCTCGGGTGATGAAGACATGGGCGGTGAAGACGGTGGCGTTGGACGCCTGACAAATTCCTGCTCTTCATCATCCTCTATCTTGATCGAGTGAACAGGTGTGGAAGAGGCCACTTGAGTGGGAGTCTGAGCCCAACTGTCTTCTTCGTCCTGTACTGTGACACGACGTGTACAACCTGGAGGAAGGCCGACGAGTGGTGAATTTATACAATCTCGGAGGAAGTCGAGTTTAGGGTCGCGGATTTCTTGCTCCCGACGATATTTCCAGTCTTCCAGAAAGTACTGGTATCGCTGCTCTTCATCCTCTTCGAGCTCTTCGGGATCGGCAAACTCTTCCTGCTGCCACCACCTAGCCCGTTCTGATGCTTGTGCTGCAGCGCTTCCTGGCGCTTCCAGTCTCGTGTCTCGGCTGGTCGGTCGGGTCGCCAGGTACGTCTCAATCGCCAATTCCTCGCGAACCTCCGCCACGTTCAACAAGTCGCACATCGCCATTCTCTGTCTATACAATGACGCCAGCATCTGTTTTCGGTTGGTGCGCGTGAGAACAACACTGTCGCGAGTTTCCTGCGCCTTGTGCAACGCCCTTCGCAGAGGGCAGAGGACGGCTTGCGAAATTGCCATCTCCTCCGCCATCTTGATGGCATCTTCCATCTCACGCACGGCAGCATCTGCTAGTTGACACTCCCCGTCGAACTCATCGATCACGTATTCTGCATTTTTGATAATACGCTCCAGTCGTTCCCAAGCACGATCGGTCATAACTCGCGCGGCGACGGAGGATTCAAGTTCCATCATTGCGCAATTTCTATGCTTGATGGTGGTGTGATTGCCGCTTCTTCCGCAGCCTCTGCATGGCGTCGGATCCCATTCTGCAAAGCCACCGATGTATTCTGACTTCCACAGGGGTTGCATCTGGCAGGCGTGAGCACACTGTTGGTTTTCCACGGGAGCGGATCCTCTCACCTTGAGTGGCCTTCTCACCGTAGCCCTTGCTTTCTTGATCTTTGTGTAGTATTAACGAATGAAGTAACCCGAGTCCAAGTGAGTTTTATTTGCTCTCCTGAGCATATACTTCAAACACCTCGCTGAGGATTTGTTACGAAAGTGTGTTGGACAAGAAAAAGCAGTGTAAGTGGAAGCGTGTGGATGCGGGGGTTTAAAGGCCTGGTGCTCACAGACGCGGACGCGTCAAGCAACGACGCGTTTTACTGCGCTATTGCACGGATCCCCTTACCAGAGTTTCACAGGGGGTACACTTGATCGCTGGCACCAGCTTAAACTCAGACATTTAAAGCCACATTCCTGTAGTAGGTAGGCAGGTCGTTTAAGAGTAGAGAGTGTAAGACAATTCGCAGGTTCTACGCGTTATCATAGGTAAGATGGCGCGTGTATCCTACAGTACTGTCTTTTTATCGGGGGACTTAACTCCACCATGATGCCCGGAAGTTTGGTAGGGTGATAACCCAGAGGACCGGGCACCGTTACCTAGGGCGCACCGTATCAGCGGGAATTGCCTTCCTCCATACATTGCCTCCGTCTCAACGTTCTCGTCTGTTGTCGAGGGTTAGCTTCCATCAAATGGCGGAAAAGCGCCAGTGGTAGCAGACTCTGGCGCATCAATGAACAGCCTTGCACTCGGCGAGGTAATATCACAGGTAGCTTGATAAAAATGATCCAACTGTCAGGCTAGTATACATGTGTATGTGCCATCATCCACGGGGAGAAAGCTCAGCTACTCCGGAGCAAATGTCAACCTCGAGAATAGTACGGTCGGTACCGATGGCGTTGACCACAACTCATTTGTCTCCGTGGTCTCCTCGCCGATGACAATGTCTGGCCATTATCGCTGACACCAACTCTCCCATCAAATTCAGATTGCGCGTCGAGGGTGGCCAAAACCCAGTTCGCGACGGCATGATACTTTGTCGTCCCTTCTCTCACCATGCGAGTCCATTCACCCCCACTCGGCCGAATGTCGTCGCTTGCGAGGTAGGTCGGCGGAGTGATACTGCAAACCTCCCGCTGAGGTCCTATATTTTCCTTGTTCTCTTCAGAACGGTCGTGATCCTCTAGGCTGTGGTCCGTGATGCGTCTAGGGTCAAGGGCATACATCCTCCTCGTGGCTTCATGCAACCGATTAACCAAATGACTAGACTTGTCGATCGTGTCTCGGTGGCCGTCGAAGCTTTTTGTAAAGTCGGCCCAGCGGGTCTTATGTTCTTCCAACGTTTTCATACGGCGATTCCGCGCTTCCTCGAGTGCGGCTTCAAGAGACTTAATGTATACGTCCTCGCGGGCCAGCGTCTCGTGCAGACGATCCTCGTCCTGCTTGAAAGCTTGCACCCGATCGTTGGTATTTTCTCTTTCAGCTATTGCAACTTCACAGTCCGCGGCGATAGTAAGCACCTCTTGGCGGTTGGCGCATTGTTGATCTTTGATGGAGACACACGGTTCGGGGTAGACGCTGCCACAGCCGCCGCAGGGCACTCGACTCCAGTGGGCCTTAAGGCTCTCTATTAGACCACTCATTGTGGGTAAATTTGGGAATTGCCTTGCGCGATGTCGTTGAATATATTATAAAATATTGATGTATTCAATTCAAGTTATGGTGAGGTAGCTCGCAGCGCGTTCAACAGCAGTGGTGACTTAACAAAGATTTGGTGTAATTATCGGTGCTTACCTACGAGGGGTGAGACAATCGCGTCCATGCCACTCCGGAAGACGCGCTCAAGCTACTAACGCGTTGCGGGGCACTGAGAGCTCGGGCATGGCGGGGTACACTGTAACTCCCAGGGGCCATTTTCATTAGTGCTTGGTTTAGACACACTTTGCTTAACTCCTTACCGGGTATTTCGCAGTCATAAGGCCCTTAACAACATGAGAGTAGCTTAATTTAAGTCATATTGACAGCTTTCCAGTCTTGTTGATCGGTTTCGTAATTGAACGTGCATCAAGAGAGTAGAACCGGGCACTCGAATCCTCTTTCATCACGCCGAGTCCTCACATCCAAGCCGCATGTGACTGACATTGGGGCAATTGTGTCGTGTCAAAGGTATCTTAAGGAAGCCCTCGCAGTGTAAAATGGCCTTATTCATGTTGATGTTCATTTCAGCTTGTTAGGGGAACCGATCATGAGCTCAATAGCTGCGTGCGAGTGTAGAGTATATTCAAACTCTCAATCACCGCTATACAAGTGGTGTGCAAAGTTCTTCGTGCGGCCTGATGAACGTCCCCAAGGCCACTTGAGAGGTCGCTAGAGCGACAATGCCATCCGGCTCTGAGGCATTTAGCTCTTCAGTAGGAGATCAGTGGTTGACTTCCTGCGGCATCCGCGAATAGGCAATTGATGACATTAGAAGTGTTTCCATGTTCCTAGGCAAGAAATATCTCACGTTTTGAAGTCCCGTGTAGATATGGCAGAGGATCTGCCTTCAGTGTCATTATACTTTAACGAAGAGATATGTTGACGTGGAGGCACACTCGTCGGTTCATCTGGGGTGCCTACCTATGAAGGTAGTGAGCTTCGACCACAGGGTTAGGTGCCAGAGACACGGGAGCCGCTAGCTGAACTACATATATTTACCATCAAGGTCACTAAGCAGCTTATTGTGTGAGGTTACGCCCTCCATCAAGGTCGTACTATTAGTGAACTATGGCGGGGCATTCCATCTTAAAAAGAACCAAAGGTCCCACATCATGATTAGCATAATACACTCCTTAATCACCACGTCCGGCTTTCAAGCAACGTCTTGTCTCTTCTTCTCAATCATCGCCCCAATTACCTTATTACTCCATTCGTTCACCCAGCTACTGAAGTCTATTCGACAGATGCAAGTTCAGCTTCCTCAGGCGGCGTTTATACCTTCGCATCAGCTTGGCTCATCTTACAACCTTATCATGTCCGCCCATTCATCTTCCATCCGCACCTGCTATTATTGGATTATACTCGTCATGGATGGAATTTCCGCGTTCCTAGTCACCGGAATATCTTCCTTGGTGTCTACGACTTTTATCCTGTTACCTCAAGAATCACCTACGCAAAATAGCGATCTAATCACGCCCTATCGAAAGCAAGGCAAGACCTCGAAACGATACGAAATATACACCGGATATCATCCGAACTCGCATAGAATGCGCAACAGTATTAATACGGCAGACTGTGCGATATATCAAATTCCCCTCGAAATACAACTGCAGATTATGGGACATTTGAATCTTGTTGACTTGTTCTGTCTCCGACAAAGCTGCTACATATTCCTCTCAGCATTCGAACATGAATCTTTCAAGAACCTGCAAAGACCAATTAATATACCAGAAGATTATTCGGCATCTGAATACAAGTACAATCGAACATCTTATATCGTTTCTGAATATCAATATATGGCCAATCATTTGCGACATCGGCAACAAAATCCCGCGGGGTGTGGCGAGGTGCAGCGCAGATATCAGCCAATTGTCGAAATGAATCTCAATCGTCTTTCTGATGAAGAAGAACAAGAGGTCGCACAGCGAACGAGACTGAATGCCGTTTGCGAAGTTTGCTCGAAGAAACAAGCTATATTTTCCAACCTATTCTGCCACAAATATTTTTATTACCCGGAAGAGAGACTTTTACATTGCGCCAATTGCAAGAGAAAGCACAACGTATCCCTATTTTCCGAAAATCAACTTGGGAAAAGTCACCCGATATGCATGGGCTGGGAAGGGAAGATCCAAATTTGCCCTCACCAACACATGTCCTTGCTTGAGATATTCAAGTGGATGGAGAGTGCATCCGCTCAAAAAGGTGCAGAAAGTCTGAGCTTATCCTGTCAGGCGTGTGAGATACACTTCCAGCCAAAAGGACAGGAGCACTTCCCAACGCTATCCATCTCCAACGACCATAACTTGCGTTTGCACTGGACTATGGTGGTATGTGACCTAAGAAAAGGGCAGCTCGTTACCAAGGACCTCATTCGACAGGGTCTAATAGACGTGGAAGAGCGCTTTGGTAACGAATACCTATGTCCGCATCTTACTTTCAGTAACCAAGAACTCATGATGCCTTTCAACTGGGAGCATTGCGTTTGTTTTAGGGAAGCAAGTCTGGAGGAGCCGGAATGTTATCGAAGCAAAATCAGGGATCACAAAAGTTCACAGTGTTGCGCTTGTAACAGCTCGAAGCACGCAGATGCGACAGGTATTCTCATGATGCCAAGCCTCGCTAGCAAATGTGGCCATTCCTTGCATCAGGTCGTTTGTAGACTATGCCATGCAACATATCGATGGGGTGTTGATTCCAATCGTATTACGTTCACAAGAGAACATTATTTTGTTGGGATCAGTATGTTCCATCAAAATACCCATAAAAGACAACTTAGCCTGAAGGGAAGGGAGGAAATGTCGCGGTGGGTTCGCTGCCTTGACCCAACTACATACCACGGCAATGAACATATGCAACAGCATAAGGGTTGCATCGATAAGGCTTGTTCAAACTCTCTGAACCGCCGCATGTGTTTGTCGAAAGAAGTATGGTTAAAGGAGAGGATGGAGACAAATATCAAGTTCGAGTTTTTAAGATGGTCAGTTCATGTTCAAGCTGTGGAATGAAGGGATAGCAATGATTTGTCAATGGCCCCTGAGGCAGCCCTAATATCGGATCAAAATACCTCAGGTTTATGCTCTAACAAAAACATTTACATATGGGGGCTAGACATGCGATAGTTCATGTCTATTTATTCATTGCTCTTGCATACTACTTGGAAAGAAAGAACTTTTCTCCACGTGATCGTACTCGTTTGACGTCGGCAGAACTTACCTTATGGAATCACACACTCTAGATATCGATAGTAGAACATGACGAGATCGAAGTCTCTAGGTTGTGGAAGTTATTGACTCTATCTCATCGTGCAACTGAGAGATAACGCCAGTGCATGTATAGGGACGTATTTTTGTGAGGGGAAACAGCTAATAATACGTTGATGCAACCATATTTCCCTTATCTCTTACAATAAATATAGAAAAGAAAATCCTGCAAGAGCAGAGATGGAGAAGACTGGAGAACACGTGTATTGTTGCTGTTCACTTGATGGGACAATGCGCATTGATATAACCTAGTCGGCTGGATAATAATTAAGCCTAGCAAAAAGGCTCTATGTATCGAATACGACGATAAATAGGTGTTAAACGTTGTTAGGCAATAGCTCCGAGATGCATATGCGGTTGGTTGTATCGACCTGTGGCCCAAGTCGTGCAGCCAAGACCTTGAGACCGTTGGAAGTCCAACTCAAGGGGACCGAAAACAACGCAGCAGTCTGAAAAATACACCGCTGGAAAGATCAGGGGCTTTGTGTGGTTAAAATCACACAAAGTGGTGTCGAAAAATGGGCACACCCCTGGAACCACTATGAAGTGCATACATATGTCTTGACGGATGGAAATTTCTTCAGGCGGCGCAACCTCCAGATCAAGAAAGAATGATCTCCTCTTATGCGCAAGTTGTCACTTACCCAAGTACATAACATTATGTCCCTTCGACGAAACGAGAAAATACCTGATCGTCAATTCTTCGACTAAATGAAGCGCCTCTTGCGCGCCATCTAAGACCACTCGTCAACACCCGCTACATGTAGTCTCGGCGGCACCTCGTTCACATTCCTAGCCACTATGTCAGCTCTCAACTACAAATTCGAAGGCTGGCTTGGACTCGACAAGTCAGCAGCGGAGGGAAACATGGTCTGGCAGGAGTTTGAACCCAAGGAATGGGAGGACACGGACATCGACATCAAAGTCACCCACAGCGGCATCTGCGGCACAGACCTGCATACGTTACGCAGTGGCTGGGTATGCATACATGTCTCTTTCAATAAGCTGCCAGTTTTGCTTCAAGACCTGCCTGTCTCCGTTATTGATAAACCATGTAAACTGATAGTACCCGGCTCCCTACCCGATCTGCGTCGGTCACGAAATCGTCGGCATCGCCGTCCACGTCGGAAGAAAAGCCACCGGAGACATCAAAGTCGGGGATCGCGTCGGTATTGGCGCCCAAGCAAACGCCTGTCTCGGCCGTTTTGGCCGTTGCAAGGCTTGCGATGGCGGCAAGGAGTCGTACTGCAAGAAACCCGTGCACACTTACAGTGCTTTCCATTACAACGGTGGTAAAGCGATGGGTGGGTATGCGACTCACCATCGGTGTCCTTCGTATTTTGTCTTCAAGATTGATGACCGGCTCGACTCAGCGTCAGTTGCGCCTATGCTCTGCGGGGGGATCACCGTGTACTCACCGCTGAAATTGCACGGGTGTGGGCCAGGAAAGACTGTGGGTGTTATTGGAATCGGAGGTCTAGGCCACTGCGGTATTCTATTTGCCAAAGCTCTTGGGGCGGATAGAGTTGTGGGTATATCGAGGAGTGAGTCGAAACGAGATGAAGTTCTGAGAATGGGTGCGGACGACTATATTGCGACGGCCGAGCGATTGGACTGGGTGACTGAGTACACTGGTGCCTTTGACATCATCATCAACACCATTGGCACGAGTAAAGTTCCTTTCAACCAGTATCTCAGTTTGGTGAGCCTAGATGGCACATTCATCCAAGTCGGGTTGCCGGAAGACGGGTCGTTTGAGGTCAACGCTTTCATGCTCGTGTCGCAACGGATCAAACTCACGGGGTCAAACACGGGGTCTCGACAGGAGATTCGTGAGATGTTAAACTTAGCTGCTGATAAAGGAATCAAGCTTTGGGTTCAGGAGAGGCCCATGGCGGAAGCAAACCAAGGAATTGTGGATTTTGAAGCTGGAAAGGCGCGATATCGTTACGTTCTGACGCTGTAAACTAGCATACAGTTGCGGTTGACCTTTACTTTTAATCAATATTTCAATAAAACCAACGATTGAACTGTCATCTGCCGGGCTTGAATTCCTGAGAATTCACGCAGCGGAACGAAAGGGATGACTGTTTGTTCTGGATGTTGAATTAAGGTACTCTGGTGGGACGCATTCTTTCTCATGTTTCATAGCAACGTGGGCGTCAAAGTAAGAGACCGGGAAACACAACTAGGTGGCCACCTTCTTATAGCCACTGCTATCGTTCTAGCTGTCGCACCATGCTCCCTGTGGCGAATTCCGCGACGAATATGTAGGCAGTAGTAAGAATAGCATCAGCAGTAGTAATAGTTGTAGTAGCAATAGTAGTAATGAATCAGGCAGAAATAGGGCCATTATATTGAGTGGCATAATATCATTGTGTCATCAACTTACCAAAATTGCTTAGTAGGCAACACGCGTTCATGGCCTCTCAGAATATGGTTGGAAAAAGACTGTAGGTGCTAATAAAACATGCGCCTCTGACGAATAATAAAATCTGAGCTTTCGGAGCTGGATTCGTTCTACCTGGCCATATGACGATAAGATTTCAGGAAGAACAACACTCAGAACTCTAGTGGCCAAGAACCTTAGGACACACCTGGCCGTGGCTGCGGCCGGGATCCAAAGTGCTTCTAGTGTAATTTCAGTCTGAAGAAACAAAATGCTGTTCAAGGCCCGTGGCTGTTTCTAGGAAGATACTCAAGGACAGTAAATGGATGTCAGCAATTCGGGGCACGACAATGTGTGTAGAATGGAAAAGCGCACCAAGCACCAACTCGAAATCTGGCAATGAGATCAACACGTTTCTTACATACAATGGAATCGTCAGCGGAGGAACCCTGGTTCTCCGGATGACAGTCAATTGCAAAGTGATTGCACAGATTGGGGTCCTTCAACAGGAGACAGTCACGTGTAGCACGCCATCGACTCCAACGATGGTGAATCAATTGCGCGAGCTGCAAGCAAGCTGACGCGACACACTAGACACCCGCACAGTTGCATCAGCCCCAGTTATTACTTGTTCCTTGTCCTTTCCATGCAGCAACGCCATTGACTGTAAGGATTCAATCTCGAGTGACAATTCTCCGTGGGCAGAAAAGAATGCTCATAAGGAGTAGATTGAAGCTTATGACGAGATTGCAAACTGGTGGCATAGGGCTTAGCTTCAACGCGGAGTCCTATGAAAACTCAAGGAAATGCAGCTACTCTTGGTCAAGCTCTGACAAGTGCCACAACTAACGGCATAACATACGGGCTTTCCACACAACTTTTGGATCTCCTCGGAAAACAACCGTTTAACCTGCTGTTGGAGGGTCAGCATTACATGTACTGAATAGGTAGCCTGTCGTCATCTACCTGTGGATCGCCCTTCGGTATCAGACCGAGATTTGGAGAAAGCATGCCCCTTTCTTACCTATTAGCACCCCCAAATGCTCGTCACGCCTTGTGGCGACGTTCCATGACAGCTTGGCTGGATAGTAAGCCGTTTGCTCGGGACGCAGCACATGTTGAAACCCCTGCTGAAAGAGTTTTATCAAAAGACACTTATATAGAACGGTTCGTTTGTCCTGCATACGGGCTGGGCTTTTGTCCGGACTCTTGTGTCGTGTAGACACCGTGCGTCATTGCTCCGTTTTTCAACGACGAAGATGACCTCGCAACACCCGGTCGCGAAGCCGTCGCCCGCCGGGTCTGATACGTCGTCTGACCATGGCGGCCTGGGTTCCAAATCAGCTGTTGACGACAAGGTTATCGTCGATGCCGCGCCTCCGACAGCGCCCGCGCTTGCAACGCAGCAGACTCAACGCATGGAAGCGGCAATGGGCGATGCTATCCTCCGATTCTTCAGAGTTCGAAAAGGGCCGAAAGCGGAAGAGTATGACCTCGATGCGGTGCGTATATCAACTCATGTTAACTTTCGAAAAACCCCTATGGCGTCTAACATGCTCAACAGATTGCCACGCAACCGAGTATCTGGGATTCCGAGAATGTCGAGGAGTACAAGAGCCTCTACATCCACCCGCAATGGGAGAATTGGGCTGCTTTTGATCCTAGCTTTCGATGGACATGGAGAGAGGAACGTGCTGTCAGACGTAAGGTGGACTGGAAAATCATGGTGAGATGACCTAGACACCCAACAAAGAACGCAAGCTGATAACCCATAGGTCTGGGCTTGTGTGATGTTCGCCGCCCTCAATATCGACCGGAATAACATCTCCAACGCCGTATCCGACAATATGCTTGACGATCTTGGGTTGACGCGAGGCGACTATGTGAGTTACGGACTGCGAGACTGGCTGCTCTGATACCCGCTAATACGACCTAGAACCTTGGTCAAACGATATCCCGGGTTGGCTTTCTGGTTGCCGAGCTCCCATCGCAATTGATCTCCAAGCGGTCAGTAGTTCTTGTTTGTCAACTTGTGAACTTGTACTGATTCAGCCATGCAGCATTGGACCCGATCTCTGGATCCCCATCCAGATTTGCCTCTTCTCTATCATCTCTGGAGCGCAATTCTTCCTAAAGGGTCGGGCGTCCTTTCTTGCGACAAGATACCTCATGTGAGTGTGGTTATTGCCCCTGAGATAGTAGATCACGTGTACTTATGACCCGATGTCTAGCGCAACCTTCCAGGGAGGCTTCATCCCGTAAGTCTTGGCCCTTGACAAGCCTGTCCAAGCTTTCGACTAACTCCTTGGCAGAGACACAATTCTTTATCTGAGTTACTGGTACACAGGCACCTCAGTTAGCAATCCCGTCCCGGACTTCTGTAGGACATTATTTTAACGTCTTTTTCTAGCTTCCAATTCGACTGGCCTGGTTTTGGATGTCTTCGCAATTAGGTACTTTTCTTTGCACTGCTCTCAAGCTCTGTTCAACTAAGCAACCCTGACTGATCGGCCTTTCTAGTTGACATCGGTGTTGGATTCGCTGCTGTCGGCCTGGTTTCTATGCGCGGTATCTTGGGATACGAGGGCTGGCGTTGGTTGTTCCTTATCGAGTAAGCCTTTCATGATAAACTTACGATGTTGTCAGCTTACTAACATATCGTTAACAGAGGCGCCTTCACTTGTAAGTCAAAAAGAACCGCTTCATAATCATTCAGCTACATCGCTGACAACATCTATCTAGTCTGTGTAGGATTGTGCTCGTTCTTCCTTATGCCTCAATGCCCTGCCAAGACGAAGAGTTGGTGGAACCCCAAGGGTTACTTCAATGAGAAGGAGGAGAAGATCATTGTCAACTCCGGTACGTCCCTCAGGAAGGGAAAACCTTTTTCACAGCTAATTATCTCTGCTAGTTATCCGCGACGACCCCCAGAAAGGCGGCATGTACAACAGACAAGGTCTTTCCGTCAAGCAGATCTGGGAATGCTCCAAGGATTACGACATGTGGCCCTTGTACGCTCTTGGCTTGCTCTTTGGCTTGCCGAAGTACCCTGTCAACCAGTACCTCACTTTGTCACTCCGAGACCTCAAGTTCAACGTCATCCAAACCAACTTGCTTTCAATTCCGTGGATCATCGGCTCAAGTATCACCATGTTGGCCATCACGGCTGCTAGCGAGCTATGCAACAACCGCAGTTTCGTCGCCATGGCGGAGGATGCATGGCTGTTGCCGTGCTTCATCGCCCTGATTGTAATCGCGAACCCAAGCCCCTGGGCTTACTTTGCGATTGCTACAGTGCTTTTATCCTTCCCTTAGTAAGTGAGGAGTCATTCGATTTGTCTTTTCCGACTGCTAATGCATGCCAGTACGCATCCTATTCAAGTTGCCTGGACTAGTAGGAACGCTGGATCCGTCCAGAACAGAACGGTTTCCGCATCGTAAGTCTCTGCAACTCTTGTAGGTGGTACTTTACTGACGCTCTGACTGCAGTCTGTACAACATGTGGGTTCAAGTCAGCGGTATGATCGGCGCAAATAGTAAGTAACTCTACTTCACCTACCTTATATGATGAAGGAATATGCTGACTAGCCAAGTCTACCAACCAAGTGATGCCCCTCGATACTTCAAGGCCAACAAGGGCCTTTTAGTTATTTGCATTTGGATGTGTGTAAGTAGGCAATCAGTCTGCCTCAAGATTAAAACTCCTAGCTCATATGATATGCAGGTTGTACAATACCCTTTTACCTACTTTTACTATCGATGGAGGAACAACAGCAAGTCCAAGAAATGGGATGCTATGACACCAGAGCAGCAACACGACTACCGTGCCAACACAACGGATAAAGGCAACAAACGGTGAGATACAGCGACGCCCGGTGAACTCATCGTCATACTGATCCTTCATAGTCTTGACTTCCGATTCGCCACCTGATCAATTCGATCGATTCAGGTGCCGAGATAGGTGGTATGACAGGACTTTGTGCCGTCTAGTAGCTGCTTTTTTTGTTCAATGGTGTATGAAGACAGGATTAACACATAGCACTCTGTTAGATTATTCTCAGAGCTTTGGTGCTCTAGCCTGGCGAATGAACCAAAATTTAGCTTTCAGTCAATGAATTGACGTCATGAATATGGCAGTAGGGCGGGCTTTGATGATTGAGCTTAGATAAGTACGCCATGATATAGGGACGGATACTTTTGATATTGAAGATGTTCCCAAAGGGATATTCATTTTGCTCCTTGCTTCATATCCGATGCTTCTCCTTGGGTTTTGGATCTCTTGCGCGCAATCATAATTGTTCCCCTCAATGCTTTTGACTCAGCAAACCAGTCAAAAACCATTGCTGCAACCTTGAACTTCCCCGCCGAGATCCCAAACGGCCGTAACGCCTCACTCTGACTCTTAATATAGCTGACGAGACCAGAGAACACATGTTCCGTGATATCTCTGAAATGGATATGATCTTCATCGTAACCCGCGTCAACGAGCTGCTTCTTGTAGTCTGCCGCTGTAACAAAAGCAGCAGCAGGACAACCCATCGCCAGTCCAATGAGCTTGACGAGAAACCTCTGCCGTAAAGACGCTCCATCGCTCAATATCAAGTCAAAGGCCATGAACGAGGCATCGAGTGTCTGCGCGGCATAGTTGAAGATTGGCTTTCTAGAGGGATAGAAGTGGTACAGGCTGTCAAGCGCTAGAACCCATCGTTGTTGGTCGGCGCTATCCTCCTTCAGAGACCTAATCGCAGACTTTACGTCCGCGTTCCAGATGTTGGGGTTTGCAGCGTCAGCGCAAAATACCTCAATACTCCCATCTTCTAGTCTAAGCTTTCGCGCCTCCAATATAATTCTAGATGAGGCCAGACGATACTGGGACTCGTTGAGAGTGAGCCCTACGTATCGATAGGTGGTTACACCTCGCTCGTGTATGAGCCGTAGAAGCTCTAGGGACTGGTCCCCACAGCCAACACCTAGGTCTAGGATAGACAATGCAGAAGATTGAACTACATCCCTACAAAACCGGGCTTCCTTGAGGACCTCTATAAGCAAGTTGCGACAAGCCGTTTCGAAATCTGTAATGCGTAGGCTGTCGGCATTCGTCCTGGAACATGATGATAAGTTAGTCGCGCTGTAGCTAAGTCAAAGAAAGAACATCATGAAGTGCGATGAATATGATTCAATCCAAATGAAAAGTAGAAGGGAGCCCAGCGTCTGAGTAATCACGAGGTAGGGTTTTAGGTGAGGGCGGACATACCAATAACCCATGTTCATCCACATGGTAGTAAACGGCACTTTGAGGTTTAGCTTCCAGTGATCATTATTGTAGACATCTTTTCGCCTAAGAAAAGTGACGGCAAATGCCAGAGTGAGCATCAGAATCGTGGATATGCAGCCAGTTGCGCCCAGCAATACCCCTTTCCAGAAGTCTGGAGCGGCGCCAATCGGTAGTGTCATTGTATGAATGAGGATGAATTCATGTTCGCTTCAGAGATGAGGGCGAAGGAGAGTTAGTTCTATGGTCTAGTGCTCACTACTTTAAGTAGGAAATGAGGGGTGGGAAGACATTTGCAGAGAAAGCTGCCAGGTGTAGCTAGACGTGGTGCCAGCTGTAGGCGGAAACAGCGAAGGATGCGACAGGGCTCGGCACCGGAGGTCCGATGTTACTTCCAACCAACGGACCAACAAACAACAAACTAACAAAGCCCCCCTTGCGATTTTCCTTCACAAGGGACTGCGTTTATATCAACTTTACTTTTTCCATTCAAATACCTTCCTCTTCTCATTAACTACCCTCAGTCGCTTGACTAGCCGCGCCGCCAAGGGATTACGACACCAAAATCGTCAGCGATTCTCATCGCAGAGCTAACACACCCCTCAAGAAGGACCATTCCATCCCAGCACCACGCCCCGGTCAACCACACATTATCTTGTCCATTAGTCCAGTCACCCATGCCGGCGATCTGGTCATTCTTCTTATCCAGGTTCCTATCCTCGCCCATGACCTTTCGAATAACTGCCCTACTCTGACACGTCCTCAAGGTCCTTGTAAACCTCGCCGTCCGCAGTACCCTCTTCGCATCGGCCTGGACATCAAGTGGGCAAGTGCTCACGACCGTTCCTCCAGGCATTGTGTGCAAAGCCTCTGTCCGTGCTGCTTCTTTTGCGGAAAAGTCGGTTCTGAGGCAGATAACCTGGGGCGGCATCGCATTTCCACGATGATGTGAACAAGCTTTCGGATGCCTCCCTTCATCCTCCATGAGGGTGAACGACTGGCTTGGTTTCGCATCGAGCGGACGGAGAACTGAGCTCTCTACACGAATCGTTGGCACTGGGTCGAGAATATCGCGCAGAGGTTGGTAGATCTTGCCAGCCACGTCTGGCGACACAGCGAGGATGACCCGATCGAATATGTCATCCAAAATCTGCCCGGCTGCGTTCCCCGTCGACTGCCAGCGGATTTTCACCCTTCCGTCTATTGTTGAGGCTACTTCTGCAACACACGCTCCTAGTCGGATGTCTTTCATTTCTTTTGCCAATCTTCCTTCAACTTGGTGGACACCGCCGCAGACAGTGTAGTGCTGTTGTCCATGCGACCGTTTCTTGTATTCGACAATATCACTGGCGGGGAACGCTAGGAGTTCAGCATGCGTACACGTCGAAACGCTGCTGATGAGCGGGAGAAGGTAGTGCGTGGCATACCGTCGCGGTAGCCATATCCTCTCCAGATACTTGCCGAACGTCTCTCCTCCATCGGTCCCCTCAGTCAAAGGGTGTACTATGAAGCATGCCATTGTGAACCAGAACTGGCATATGATCAGGTACAGAATCTCTACTAAGTGCGCCAAAATCCCGCGGTTTCCCGGCCAAGGTGGGACTTGGTGCAGATTGGATGCGTGGACAAAGTATTCGCCAGGCACCCCGCCGGCGCCCTCCACAGTTGCCTGTTTCTTCCCCGATGCTGTCGTATCAGGCCTGCGTACTGGCAATGATCTGACGAATGAGAACAAGAAGCGGATGGGATGATACGGGATGCCCAAGTGGTCATACATGCGCATTACGTTGGGATAATATCCTCCGGCGAGTGCGCGCATTGGAAGGTCGATCCTCTCAATGCTGCCTGAGCTCTCCTCTCGAATCGCAACGGATGCTGAGTCGAAAGACAGGCTCTCAGCCTACAACTGTCAGTCTACGCATTCGCCAATTTCTCCGATCTGGGATCCAATTCACCTGTTCAAATAGGGTCACTGCATATCGTTGTTGTTCGTCATTTTGCAAGAGATATGCGGTGCTAAGCCCGGCCAATCCCGTCCCGACGACAGCTACTCGGAGAGGAGCCTGTCGACTCATGTTGCATTGAGTGAGTTTGAGAGCCCTATGACCTCAAGCCAGCGCTGACATGCCCTGAGTAAGTATCCTACTCCTCCAACGTGGCGACTGGTTCATCAAAACACAGCGAAAGCAAAATTCGAAGAAGAAACTGTAACAGAGTCGGTACGCGCGAATTTGCGACAGGAAATCCACTGCGGAGAGATAGGGTATTTCTCAGCTCACCGCACACTCACACCACGAGCCGGGTACGTAATTTCATCAATGCACACCGTAGCTTCTTCGAATTCTGCTACTCCCCGGTATGAAGCTCCCCTCCGGCGGGTCCCATCCCTGAGAGAAGTGCCGGATAGTCACATCACTCATCCTTGAATGGGTGGGTGTCTGCCGAGGTCGAGACGCCGTCGGGGCAATTCCACTTGGTAGTCGACCGTCTGGCGTCGACGAGGCTTCATCCCTGTTTTGTGATACAATGTGGCAGCAGTTAGCCATTTTCTTCGGGATCCGACAGAACTCGAGAAACCTTGAGACACAATTCGCGCCAGCAGATCATTCTATCTGAGCTGTTCTCTTCTCATCTGCGACGAGATGGATGCCCAGAGACCATCTTTGATGGCGATGCTTACGGATAGACGAGCCGTTTGAGCCCGACAATTTCGAAAGGCGAAAAGTCAATTTGCACGTGCTTCTTTAGTATCATCAGACGGTCTCCTCTGTTCGGACAGAATGTTGCACCGACTCGATCAATCTAGCTTGGCTTCTAGAGTTTTCTCAGGCGACCCCACACACTATGATGATCCCTGGCTACATGTACACTAGCTCGACTAGTCCCTGGCATTCTCGCTCATGGCTCGTTTGGGGAGTTCGCAAGCGAAGATAGACGTTCATTGACATCATATACAACCCTCGGGTTGCCTGGCTATTCTGTTGAGGAGGCGAGCTCCAAAGAACTGGTGTCCGACCGATAGACAGTCGCAAAGAATAGCAGCCCAACGTTCGTCCGCTGGCCATATTCACCGGCTACATGGCCCCAGCCGCCGGGCTCAGAGCAAAGTCTATCGGTAATTATCACTCGCAATCAGCGGCGTGCCTCGCTTTCGCGAAATGGACCAGTCGCTGCCTCAGCCCACCGTCGCGCTCCCGTCGTGTTCAGCGCGCTCGCGGCCTTGAGCTTCGCGACAACCTGGTACCACATGTTTCGTTTCTCCGAGTGGTCGTATGGCCAATGAGCAACGACACAGGCATCGGCTGGTCTCAACTCTCCTGAGCTGAGGTTAGGCGAGTGGCTGCACGATACCTCTCTGTTCAAGCAAGCTTGGGCATCAACCCTCGAGACTGGCCCCAGGGCTTGGTGGTCGTTGCAAATATTTGGGTTTGCGCTAACTGGGGTGTCATACTTGCGGCTCAAGGTGAGCTTATGCTACCTTAGTAAAATCGGGCTAGCTGTCAGCTCTTTCTTGCAACTCCCGAAAGCACAACTAACCTAGGTGCATTATTAGCTCAGAGGAGGCGCATTTCACACACTTGGATCTTCGTACTGCTTGGCCAAGTGAATGCGATCTCTTTTGCGGCGAATTTGTCTTTTCTCGCAATATTTTGCACCGAAACCCCTGAACGAAGAACCAAAGATAGAAAACGACATGGCCAGACTGTGTCTTCATTCTCTATTCATTCCGTCATCCTCTTTGTTACTGTGTTATGGGCAATGTCAATCCACTCCGCCATCAACCACCCCAAGTTCCTATCCCTGCTCCTTGGTCCTCGCTGGCATTCGCACCGTTGCCCCTTCATCTAATCTCGCCGGTGCGAATGTTGGGCGAGCCAGCATGGCACTGGAAAGTCGTATTAGCGATATGGGTGCTGGTGGTGGCCACGCATGGGGTCTTTGACAGTGGTGCGAGCCTCAAAACTGCACGTGCTCTTATGACGCTATACGAGCATCCTGCCGTGAGCAGTGTTGGATGGGATGTTCCTTGCTGTTGGATCAGCTTTTTGGTCTGGTCAACCATCGGAACCTTCTTAAAGCAGGGCGCATCTGTGTGTGCTGTATGATTCGTGTGGCCCTTACAGTCATAACGAATATTGGACATGATTTTCAGGGCCTCAAAGCTTGTATTCATTACCTTCAGAGGGAAGCCAAATAAGCTATTACGTGGTAGGGAGAAAGACGTCTTCGACAGGGCAAGATCTTGGACACAAAAGCCATCTGTGCCGTCTGAATGAGGACTTGATGACGCTTCAACGAGTATATAGATTTATAAATCTCTTACTCACATCGAGCAGCATGTTCGCCCGCTCTCTTCCCCGAAAACACGCCGTCGGCAAGGGACAGGCCGCTCACATAACCGTTGGCGCATACTCCGGCAGCAGTTCGCCCAGCAGCATATAGCCCATCGATTTTGCTCCCATCTTGGGCCAGGACTAGCCCAGTCTCGCCGTCCACGCGCAGTCCGCCAAGCGTTAGTCCATTGACAGCTTGAATCCCTTCAGTGCGGCAAGATATATCGACGCCATAGAATGGAGCCTTCGAAATCGGGCTGCAGTAATCTGCTTCCTTGTGCATCGGGTCCTCTTGTCCGCGAGCAATCGCATCGTTGTAGGTCTTTACTGTCGAGCCTAGACCGTCGGCCGAGATTTTGAACTTGCCTGCGAGCGCAGCCAAAGAGCCAGCTTTCTTATAACCCCAATAAAGCCAATGCAGTCTCTGAATCAAGAGAGGCATGTTAGTCTGCTGAAACACTTGTTTCTTCGCTTTCGCCCATTGATCCGAATCGAGGACCAAGAAGCCTTTTCCCCCATGGTGCCGTATCATAGTGTCGCTGAGTGCAGCTCCATAGACATCCTCTGCACCCATGCGCTCTCCAGTCTGGGATACGGCAACGCCCTCGAGCAGGGCCGTTGGAGGATACAAGAACCGCCACGCAGACATATTGTTCATGTTTGAGACGGATCCTCCCGCTGCCTGCCCGATCTTGATACCGGATCCGTCATCACCATTCGTGCCGAGCGGGGCGACCTGAGAGAACTCGGGGAGGTGTTTCTGTCTCATCTCAGGGTTGAAAGCGAAGCCGCCGGCACTCAAGACCACCCCTCCACTGTGTATGGTTTGCGAGATGGAGTGCTTTTGCCAGATTCCGTTTGCCTTCCGGTGATAGATATCGGCTAGCTGGGACGCCATGAGCTGGAATTTCTTCGTCTTTTGCGTGAGGCCCTTATGCTTTTGGAACAGCGAGTTGGTATCCGGCAACGTCTTGATCTCAACTCCATTGACTTTATCCCTCTTTTCGTTAAAGAGAACCTGCTGAACCTTCGATGCCGGCTTGAAGTCGACTCCTAATCGGATCGCTGAGTCAAAGAGCGCCTGCCACAGCGCAGAGCCAGAAAACCCCGGCTGCACCATCCGGTGTCCCCTCGGCGCCGGCTTTGACACCTTATCAAACGGGTGCGATTTTTCATTCCCGGAGAAGTAGAGATAATGCTTATTCGTCGGATAGCTGGTCTTGTAAGGACACAACGACGCCTCGAACCGAGCACCGTGCTTTTCGAGCCATTCGAGCCGCGCTACGCTCTCGTCGCAGAAGCGCCGGAGAGTCTTTTCGTCGACTGCGTCTCCCGTTTCCTCCTTGAGATAGGCGAGCATGTTCTCCGGGGTATCGTGGCCGTAGCCGGCCTCTCTTTGTTGTCGCGTTCCCCCGCCGGCGTAGACTACGCCTCCGGAGAGCGCTGATGCTCCGCCGCCGTGGGCATCGTCTAGGAGAAGGACTTTGGCGCCTTTCTCTGCGGCTGCGATGCTTGTGCAGACTCCGGCGATGCCGGCACCGACGACAATTATGTCATGCTCTCGGCTGAATTTCACTGAACAGGTAGCGTGGAAGGAACGTGTCTTGTGGTAGCATATGGTAGCAAATCTGAAGTGCGCTGAGCGGTGGCGGGCAGTGAACGAGGTCGCGCGTGAGGTGAGCATCGCAGAGGCTGTGTGCCAACGTAAATAACATGAACAAGATCATCCGGGTGCCTGAAAAAGAGATATAACAGTCTTAAATAATTCGCACATGCTGTCATGCAAGCGTGCCGCGTTCGCTTAAGAATGGTTTGCTTTCCGATTGGGGTTTCGGCTTACATGTTTGTCCAACAGGTTTGGTGGCGCGCATAGTGCCTAACGGGTAACATATCTGCTACCCTACCCTAATTCAACGCGAAGCATTGTTGGATCAACCTACAACAATAGAGTATTTAGTGATTAAGTTCCGCGCGTTAAAGACAATGGCGTCTCGTGATGTCCAAAGCATTGTTCCGGACGCCGCTCAGCATTCCGACCAACCACGGAACGCGTGGACTCCGTGGGGAGATCGCGGGAGCCTGTCAAAGCATCGGAGAGTGCCATGTCCTCAACTGCCGAATCCCTCTTATTCGGGTTGAATGCGACGCTGCAAGTGACATCATGGAAGCCGAAATTGGGCCCCTTCCGTCGAATCCGTCACTGAGATACCAAGGAAGTCGGCTCTCTATTCTCTCAAGTAACCTGTTCGACGCCATACTTCCAGCCACCTCTTGACCATGTCCACCCCAATTCGTCTACCTTTCTCCACGCTTCCCGCAACAAATTCCACGCCCTCGCCATTTCCATTGCCTTCAGCCATGGATTGGAAGAAGCCTAGGAGTTTCAAAGCTGGCAGCTCCTTCACACCTAAGCTCTCTGATTCTGCAATTGCTTCTAACCTAGACACCCATTCCTTTATATCAACGCGTTGGACCTTTCGTCCGTAGGCCTCTTCCAGCAAATGAACAAGCTGTTCCCACGAGATAGCGCTCGGGTTAATAAGATTACACACACCATACGACGCCTCAGCAGTATTATGAAACACTACATCGCTGATGGCTTCAGCACAGAAATCGACGGGGAGCCAGTCGACGTTCGTCTGTAAGCTCGGCATCGCATCAAGATGATCTAGCCCGGCCATAATCATAGTAGGCCACATTTCGGTATTGTTCCATGCCCCCAGTCTTGAGTGACCACAAAGTTGACCAACTCGGAGGATGCGTACAGGAATCTGGTGAGTAGAGGCGTAGTGCTGCGTGATTTGCTCGATGATGAACTTTGACTGCGCATATCCGGTGGGAAGGGCATTTGCAGGATCCGGGAAGAGTGGAAGTTCTGGTACTTTGGTGCCGGCGGGACTTCCCATTGCTGCGGCGACGCTGCTCATGAAGGTGAATGTTTTCTTGGGCCCCTGGAGGCAAGAAGACATGAGATGCATGGTTCCTAAAACAGATATTCGTCAGTTCAGAGACTTCATGTTGACATCGAATGGACCTTACCTCTCAGGCAGTCGTCTTCGAACTGTTGAATGGGTTGATTGAAGTCTAGCTTCCAGGCATTGTGCATCACAACGGTTACCTCGTTCATCAGACGTTGATACATCTGCTCATCTAATCCTAGCTTTCCATCCTTCATGTCGTAGCTGACGGAAACAATCTTCTCGGTTTGGTAAATGCTCGCAGGATACCCTCTCTCTTTCAGGGAGCCCAAGACGCGAGCTTGAGGATCTGCTCCTCGTACGGCGCAGTAGATCTTTCGAACAGTCGGCATCTGGACCAGAACTTCCAGCAGTGCGTTGCCTAGAGCACCGCTAGCTCCCGTGAGATATATGACTTCACCCTCGTTTCTAAAGCCTCCCTGCTGATGTTGAGTCACTTTCCAGTTGTCGATCTCGATGTTCATGCGGTGGATGGCCGACCGGATCCACTCATGGTGGTTGCTAGCCGCCGAGACGTTGCTATCAAGACCACCTTTGAACAGCTGAAGGAACTCGAGAAGCTTCCTTGTCGTGGAATATTCGAAGATGAACATTAAAGGGAAAGCCCCGAATGGCTTCGCGAGTCTCGATCGTATCTCGACGGCACGCATAGAATCGAGGCCAAGTTCGTACCAGTTTTGGTCTGGCGTTAACTCTTCCACGGAGAGACGGAACACATCAGCGACGACGGTTTGGATGATTTCAAGATCCGAAGTTCCGAGGTTCCTAGCAGCAACCGGATTGGCGTCCGTAACAGAGTCAAGCTGGTTGCCTAGGAATGAGTTGTAAAGTTCTTCCACCCTATCTCCATACAGTTCCCAGGCAATCGTTCGTCGAACGTTCCCTTTTGGAGTGACTGGTAACTTCTGCCCATTTTGTAGAATGAGAACAGTTTGATGAGGGATTCGTGAGTACGTCGGTGAATTCTTATTGCAGACTTGCACCACTTTCCACACCTCCTCAGCAAGATCAGCTTCTGATATGGACCGCTTCTCCACCTCAGACCAGTCGATCTCAACAATCACGGAGGGGCAAGGCTTTCCTGTCCCAAAGACTGCAGTCTTCGCAACAATGCCCGTCTTGTCTTCTTCAAGCGCCATGGCGAGAGCGGCGGCATGTGTCTTCTCCCCATTGCTGTGCACGAGAATGTCATCTCGCCGACCTTGGAGGACGAAATATCCGCTCCCCGGGGGATCCTCAATGAACAAGTCCCCCGTACGGTATGGATTCGGTGCCGTCTCCTCGAGCCAGAGCTCGGCAGCTAGAGGGAATCCTCGGTATACAACACACTCGAAGAGGTTATCCGCAATGGACTCCATGCGTACATATTCCGACTCTGGGTACAAGTTGCGGAAGCGGTACACATCTGGGTTGTCTCTTGTGTGCGGTATGGTCCGAAGCGGCGGACCAGTTTCTGTTGTACCGTATGTTGTTTTGACATTGACGCCGATGCTCTGAAGTTTGAAAAGCATTGAGGGGGACAGCGGAGCTCCTCCGGGTTGTAGAACCTTCAAGTCCGTCAGAGGAGTGTAGTCTTTGGTGGTAAGAGTGATGTATTCGAAGAGGTCCTCAATGACTGAGGGCGCACAGTGCAGGCAGTCGATCGGATAGCCGAGGCTTGTCAAAGACTTCCATGCAGAGAGGATAGAGCTTGGAGCTGGCGGCCATTGTGTTGGAGGCAACGAGGTAGGTAGGCCGGTTGGGAGTCCTGACAGGGCGATTGACAACCCAGCTACGTGGAATCTAAGACGCATGAGCTAACATAGAAGGAACGACAGGGAGGTGCAAGGTCTTACAAGGGGAAACACAGATACCAGTTTTCAATGTAGAATTCTGGAAGTAGTCTGTACATCCGCGCAATATGACACAGACTCCGATTGGTGTGGATAATTGGTTTCGGCACTCCAGTGGAACCAGACGAGTGAATGATCATTGACTGAAGATTCCACTCATCATCAGTCTCAAATTCGGTACAGGGTTCTTCAAAAGCTTCTAGGTTATTCTCTCTCAACTCATCTACGCAGATGAGTTTCGTCACCGGGAGTCGACATGGGCTTTCACCGTGGAGTGAAGCTTCATTCGCCTTGTCGGTGATTATCGCAACAACGTTGCACACTCTGAGAAGGTGATCTCTTGTTGCCGGTGAGTTCTTGTTGCTTAGTAGAAGGACCCGAAGGTGCAGACGATTCAATGCGAATTGGGTGATGAGATACGAAATCGAATTGCCGACACCCAGAAGTGCGACAGTGGTTTGTTGGCCCGATTCATTGGCAATAGCAATTTCCTCTCGAAACTGCTTGGAGTAGAATCCTGATGCTGAATGGCATAGATGATTAAGCTCAGCCCAGTCAAGGACTTCAAATGAGTTGCCTATGGGGTGTATAAAGGCTGGCTTTGATGGCTGAGTGGTTGCATTGTGCTCGACAAGGGCCGCAATGCTCGTCAAATTTGTGTCAGAGAATCTAAAAATTCAGGATTAGAGTTACTGGGTCTTTCTTTGTAGGCTGAAGTAGTTGAGAGACTTTGGTAAGTACCTGGAGCTATGAGGATGTCCATGGAGTTGCCATAATTTCTTCAACTTCTCATCGGCATCTGGGGCAGGGAAAACGGTAGGGTCGACAGCAGCAATTGATGAAGGTGACTTCAAGTCAGACATTGCGATCGGTGCCATTTTGCCAAAATTTGCACGAAAGGAAGTCTCCAATGTTGTTTTGACTCTCTGAGACTGGGTTTCACTCCGTCAGGGTCCTTTCGTTAGACTTTGAGTAGCACACTTCTTCTCCAGACCGCCACAGAATCAAAAGGCAATATCTAATAAGCTGTTACTTAAGATCAAACCTATCGAGTCCGGCAATTCTATTACAACTTGAACTATGCTGACGGCGATCAACTGATTAGATTATGCCGCGCCTATCAAAGTCCTTGTTGGAGTAACGCAACACCAGAAAAGGATAGGCCAATGATATCCCCGATAATCGGACTGATAACAACCCACGCCTATCGCGTGCCTATCACAAACATAATGGGCGTGGCACGCATCCGGAAATCGCACGACCATGGCGCTCGGCAACGGCGATAGCAGGATAGCTGAAAGGGAATCTGATAAGCCTCGTCTTTGAAATGAGACCGGATGCGCAACAACGTAAAAGTAATTAGACATCGTTTATTCCGGCTCCCCGCACGCACAATTAGCAACTCCAATTGTGCCATTGATCGCCCTGACCTTCCCTTTTCTCCTAAAGGTGAAGCCCACGTGTCGGTAGTTGAGACTCGAGAATCACCTGCGGTTACACACACATCAGTCGCTGCAACGATGGGTCTACGGAAGCGCTTGGAGCTCCGCTCCGAGAGCGCCGACCTCGGCACGGAGGGAGGCCGGCTCTCGAACAAGGACATGGACCCTATTCCGATGGGCTCTCCGGAGCGCACCTGGGGCTGGCCGAGTTTGCTCGGCTTCTGGATCGCAGAAGCCTTTTCGATCTCGATGTATCAAGGTAGGTGTTCCCATAGTCTCATGCTGGGATACAACCTGGTAACCCGAAACGGCTGCTGACATTCGTCCTCAACCACAACAGTCTCTTCAACCTCTGTCACAAAAGGCCTGAATCCAGGCCTTGCAATCCTTGCAGTCTTCATCGGTCACGTATTAGTCTGCATCCCGGCAATGCTAGACGGCTACGTTGGCTGCATCTTTGGCATCAACTTCCCAGTCTTCACCCGAGCCTCATTTGGTCTCCGAGGCTCCTATGGCGCCGTTTTCGTTCGCGGCGTCGTCGCCTGTATCTGGTTTGGCACCCAGTCATTTCAGGGTGGGCAGTGTCTGCAGGTCATGATCTCCGCCATCTGGCCATCCTTCAATAACTTCCCGAACCACCTTGCCGAAAGCGCACACGTCACCAGCTCCGAGCTGCTGTGCTTTTTCTTGTTCATCATCGTTCAGTTGCCACTGCTTTGGTTGCATGTGAGCAGTTTGAGGTACATGTTCATGGTCAAGACTGTAATTATGCCAATCTTTGGGTTGACGTTGTTCATTTGGGCCATTGTTGCTGGTATGCGCCCCGAATGCAGACAAATTCAAGGAAAACTTATCTGACTTATTCCCAGGCAAGGGTTTTGGCCCGACATTCTCAAAGCCAACCCTCATCAAGGACGGCACACCCGCCATCGTCGTATTCTTCCAATGCGTCACCAGCGCCATTGGTCCCAAAGCAACACTCGCCCTCAACATGCCTGACTTCACACGCTATGCAAAGGAGCCCCGACAAGTCTTCTGGACGCAAGCCGTCGGCCTGTGCGTCTTAGTCACGATGTGTGGTGTGCTAGGTGCGACTGTAAGCAGCGCCTCTGAAGTGATCTACGGCAAGGTGACCTGGAATCCCCTGGAAGTCGCACGGTTGTGGGACAACCGCGCTGCTCAGTTCTTCGCGGGTCTCTGTTGGGCGTTTGCCGTGATTGGCACAAATATCAGCGCCAATAGCGTCTCTTTCAGCAATGATTTGGCACTATGGTCTCCAAAGTACATCAACAACAGGCGTGGAGCGTACATCTGCGCCGTGTTTGGCGTATGTGCCGTACCTTGGTATATCCAATACAGGTGAGTTGTCGGCGTGAATTGTTCAATAGCTGAGCCTTGATCCTAACCTTTGATCCGTTTCGCAGTGCCAAATCCTTCTCCTCTTTCCTTGGTGGATACTCTCTCTTCCTAGGCGCCATCGCCGGCATCATCATCACCGACTTTTGGATCTGCCGCAAGCGTACAATGGCAGTCTCATCCCTCTTTGATCCGCGAGGCATACACTACTACACCTTTGGCGTCAACCCCCGAGCGGTTATTGCCTTCATCTTTGCTATCATTCCAAATATGCCTGGTCTTGCGGCTGCTTGTGGAGCCAAAGGAGTTCCTAAGGGGGCCATCTATCTCTACAGCTTGAGTTGGCTTGTCAGTACCCTGGTGGCGAGCTCCACGTATTGGGTGTGTTGGAAAGTCAAGCCATTCCCCGTGGACGACAGCCGGGAGCAATTGTACGTTGACGGATATCCCACGGTGGAGGATTCGATTGGTTCGGAGAAAGGCTTGGAAGGGAAAGATCAAGATGTGAAGATGGGATGAGGTAGACCTTAGATTTTAATTATCATTGATTTTCGCTGAAGACAAGTCATTATTCAATGTTGTTCGGACCACGTGCTTTGAGCTGAGTGCCTGGCCTAGTTCGTTGTAGTTCCCGCGGAGAATTGTCGCGGGCTTGGTCGTAAATCATACATATGAAATAGCCCATTGTTACAAGCCCCGATTCAGAGCTGCCTCGGCTGCTGCGGGTGTTAATTCAATCAGCTTGCCCAGTCCAGCCACGAAGATGGCATCAAGTCTCAACAGGCTCAAGTTCAATAAGTCGCAGCTTCTCGACTTGATCCGCAATAGGCCCCTCCATTGAATCAAAAGAGCAAGGGCGTCTTCAGCTTCCGATAGTGTCGGAGAAAGAGCGAACAGCAAGACGATAAAGTTGCTCGCAATGGCAAAGTTGACGCGGGAATCTAGCCATGGTCAGCTATCCAGCGGATAGTTCCGGGGAACGCACACGTCTCCTGTGAACGCTGGGTCAAAGCTTACATGAATGCCAGAAAGCTTCGAGATGATGAGCCTCTAGTTTCGCGAGAAAGTCGTGCATCTCTCGGGCGATAGTCATTGAGCCGGTGCGCAACGCCGTGCGGGCCTCGGTCGGGACTTCGATGCTTTTGGGTCGAAGAAGGGCTTTGAAAACAGCAATCTTTGCAGTGATATAAGCGAGCTTCAGACTACCGTTTCCGTCTAGGCCGCATTCTGGCAGAGATGCCGAGGGCTGTTCCCCTACGTCGGGTCGGGTTTGCAGCCATTCTGCAAGCTCAATCCTTAAGGGCCGGGCAACTTCGAAAGTTGTTTCGAGAGACTTGGAGAGAGCTCTGGTGGCTTTGATGGAGCTACAATGGTCAGTAAGCACCAATAACAGAGCAGGGACTCTGTATTTGGATGCAACTCACAACATGTTTTGTTGGATCTTGGACACAATCTCAGTTAGAGAGGCCAAGTGCAGAAAATGCCTACACACCAAGGGCCCTTCACCCTCACAACCACAAACATCACCAAAATCATCCGGCCCAAGTTGTGAGACATCCCAGTCGCACTCCTGAATGTGCGAACTCCTGCCAAAGTTGAGGCTCAGCCACCTGTCCTGGACATACACCGCCCAAGCAAGCCTCCGCCGCAACCTCTTCTCCCAGCTCGGAACCGCCCAATCCGACGGATCCAGATTAAGCCCCAGACACTGGGCAAGCGCCACAGTGTCCGCGAGCATGGTCCACTTGAACGGCGTATCGGCAACGTGCTTGTTCGTTGGCCGCCGCTGGATCATAAGAAGCATCGTTTGTACGGTGGCGAGGGACGGGGTGTGGAACTCGGAGAGGGCGGATATCCAAGCTAGTCTGAAGAGGTGGTCCGCTGAGGGGAGATTATCGACATCTACGCAAAGAATGTCATCGAAGACGCAGAAGGGGAGGGCATGGCCGTAGATTGCGGCGAGGAGACATATTGGCATTGCAGAGGGGCTGCCATTGAGATTTTGGATGGTGTTTTCTTTGGATACGACTGGGAAGTAAGGTTGAACGTATTTCCAGAAACTGTAACAGGTCAGACGGGACTTCATTCCGACCTCATACATTTCTTGATTGAGTATGCAAGGGTTTGGTGAGATTCTTACAGGGTGATGAGCCTTTGGCCAACGTTCTCAGAGACCAAGCTCGAGACCTCGCCCCTGAGGTCCGCCGCGGTAGCTCCCAGCCCGCCTGGTTGCGCTTTACTTGCTTGTGAGTTTCGCTGCAGCATGAATTGAATGGGAACCCCATCTTCAGGGCCCATATTCCTGATGCGGAGTTGCTGAAACGTGCATTCGTCTCTATCGTCGAAGTGATACAGGTTCAACAGGTACGGGTCCGATTCACCGCTGAGACCAATCACTTGAGCGTTATAATCGGGGTCCGCATCCAGCGACGACGGTACAAAGACATTGTCTCGACGCGGAACATCTGGCGAAGACGCTGCGTGTGGTGATATCGGGCTCGCAGAGTCCATAAGCCCTCTCACGAAGATGGAATCGGCAATGGGCGAAACTTCCACAGACGGGAACCTCCCTTCTGCTCCGGAGGCAGCTCGATCATGTCGGTGAGGGGGACTCCGTATTCCATCGCTCGAGCCGCTTTGCCGCCGCTCGGATAGCCGTCTCCTCTTGTTAGGGCCCCCAACAAATGTGCACTCTTTTCCTAATCGACGGCAGAGCTCACATGGCGGCGTGTCTTCGTGCACCAAGCAAGCTGCGCGCTTGTAACGGCAAAAGTCGCAAGGATGACTGTTCCTACTACTCTTTTTGGTCTGGCCGTTCAAGTTGATCTCCATGGTGTGGATTCAAAGATGGAAAGCATGTTAAGAAACTTGATGTCGTTGCGGACTTCGTTCCCCGCGTCTCCCCAGGATTCCATGTTGGTTGAGACTCTGAGTTGATCTGCAAACTATCGGACTCTGATAACGGGGCGTTGGCCGATTGGATCATTAGCAAAACAACCCTGCATTTCGATAGCAACAAGCTCCATGGTGTGTGAGTGATAAAGCTTCGGCTGATATTTATTCCATTCAAGCTCATGTTGTTATTCCCGCGGCCAACTTTAGAAACTAAATCCAATCCTGTCCTCTCGCCTTTCGTCCGTCACCGGAGCTCTTGTAGACGCCCCTCTTAGCTGTAGCACCGCCCATTCTAACTAACCCAATAAGATGATGTACCCCGGCCAACACGCCGTCAACAACCTGCACCCCGTCCCCGACAGCCGCCTCCACGGCCGCCTTGAGCGGCGTCATACCCGCGCACCCCAGAAGTAACACATCGGCCCCCTTCTCCTCCACCAGCTTCTTCCCGACGGCTGCCATGATTCGCATGACTTCATCCTGGCTTTTCTCGTGCAGGTCCAGCACACCCAGCTTACACGAGACCACGCCAGCGCAGGACGTTGAGAAGCCGTAGTGGTGAATGCTGTCCTCATGCAATACTTTGGACCGCTCGCTCACGGCTATAAGCCCAAACCGCCCGCCCAGCGTCCGCGCCGCGAAAAGCGAGGCCTCCATGATCCCGATGACGGGCTGGCGAGGGAGTTCTTCACGAAGCATGCGGATTAGGGCGTGGTCGGAGTAGCACGCCACTAAGACGGCATCATGGGTCGCCGCCAGGGGCAGGACGGCGCGAGCGGCAGCCGCGGCGGACATTACGTTGTCGAAGCTGCCTTCGATGGCTGAGGGCGCCGGCCTGGGCGCCGTGAAGCCTGTGACGAGGACGTCTGGGGGTAATTGGCTCTCGACCATGGCGACGCAGGCGTCGGTCATGGCACGGGTGCTGTTTGGGTTGATGAGGAGGATGCGAATCTTCTTTTGAGTCTTTGGGGGCGTGATGCCATTGCTTGCAGCTCCGTTGTGGTTCTCGGCTAAGGATGAGAGTTTGGGAGGTTCCACGACGCCCGTTTGTTCTGTGATGCGAGAATAATGCTCCACGCGACGATGTCTAGCAAAGTCAAATGTGCGCTCCTTGCCCGGCTGGCACTCAGCTAGGTCAAGTTCCGCATAGACGACCTCATCTTCCGTCGTAGATGCCTCTGCGATGAGCTCGCCCTCCGGACCTGTAATGCAGCTACCGCCAATGAGGTCGTACTTCCCGTCATCGAGACCACACCTCGCAGCGCTGATGCTGAAACAGGCGTTGGTATAACTATGAGCCTGCATCACCAACTTGTGATGGAAAAGTGCCTTGCTCCGCGCCTCGTCCGGATCCATGCTGGCGCTGGTCCCCCAGAGATGCGGCGCGAAGCCGGCCGTGTTGTAGCCGCAGAGCACGACCTCGACGCCCTGCAGACCCAAGACGCGCCAACTCTCTGCCCATCTCCTGTCATTACAGATCATCATGCCAAAAATGGGGTCCCCGCGCTCCGGCGCCGCCTCCGGCTCCGTCAGATCGGGTACCCGGAACGCATTGAAGCCAAGGTCTCCGGGCTTGAAGTAGCGCTTCTCGAGCTGGTTGGTAGCGTCCGGATCCGCAAAAGGCTCAAAGTCGCCCGGGAGATGAACCTTGCGGTATTTTGAGAGGATGGAGCCGCTCTTCGCGTGGTAGTAGATGCAGGAGTTGAAGGTTTCGCCATTGTCGGCCTTTTCGGCAAAGCCGACCGAGATGTCGACGCCCAGTTGGTTGGCCTTATCGAATAGCGGCTTTGTCTGCGGCTGAGTCGCTACATCGCCGTGCTCGAAGAAGGAGTCGAGTTCCGAGGGGTCGTTGATCAGATGCCGGGGAAAGAAGGTTGTGAAGGCGGCTTCGGGGAAGAGAACCAGCTGTGCTCCCTTTGCGGCTGCGTCTTCAAGAAGTGATATCATGCGATTCAGTGTCTTGGGTCGGGGGTCGCTGTAATGCGTTGCGCCCATCTGGGCCGCAGCCACGCGAAGCTTTCGTGATGGCATTGCTGATGATTCCCTGATTTTCTTGTGCAGCTGTCGGGTTGCTATGTTCTCAGCTTTCCCCTTTTCCTTCAACTATGCAAACTTCAGTCCAAACTTATTCTTTTCATCACGAGAAATCGCTGAGCTCTTCTCCGAATCTCCAATAAAGTGGTGCTGAGTCTACCCCTCATGCACTGGGATCAGCGTGTAATACTCTGTAGTCCGTCCTATTCCCTGCAGCTCCATGTCCCTGAGGTAGTCTAAGTTGGGGGCGATAAGCGCCGATAGGCCGTCGGGCAGTTTGCCGTGTCTGCCTATCTTTATCTCAGATAGGCCTATTTATTCTTCGCAAGAACAGCGTTATCAAGTCTACAGCCAGTGTAGATGTCGTCAATGACTCTGTAGATACCGCATATGGTGGTAAGGGAAACTCAAGAACGGATTGAGGCAACTTTACGAATTACTGAAGCGAAGTTCATTGTTGCTCAAGCGCCGTAAAACTCGTTTTTAGCACACTGAGACACTTTTGCTTTCTTAGCACACTAAAGCAACATGGAGGTTGATCTCATCATTGAGAATGCCACAGTGGTGAGTACATGAATCATGTTGTGCCCATGAACCCATTGGCCAGACGACTGATGCAACAACACATAGGTGACGGCATCTGATGTCCACACGCGACAAGATATCGTGGTCCGCGACGGCAAAATCTTAGCTGTAGGCCAGGACCTTAAGTCTCTTTTCTCGGCCAAGACAGTGATAGATGCACAACATGGCTTCGTCATGCCGGGCGGCGTGGATTCCCACGTACACCTGGACCAGGTGAGAAAACAGTATACTCGATTTTCAAACAGAACCCCCCAGTCTAACTCAGTATCAGGATAACTCTCCAACAGGAGACAACTTTGAGACCGGCACTAGATCAGCGATTGCAGGAGGCACAACAACGATCATCGCCTTCGCTACCCAGGAACGCACCCACCAGTCTCTTCATCCAGTCGTAGATGACTATCACTCACGCTCCAGGGGCAAGTCGTATTGCGACTATGGCTTTCACATCATTCTCACCAATCCAACCCCCACCATCCTTCGCGATGAGCTTCCATTCTTTGTTAGCGAGGGTATTACCTCCGTCAAGCTGTACATGACCTACGAGCCTCTGCAACTCAAAGACGGCGAAATCCTAGATGTCATGATGGCTACCAGGAACCTGGGCATGACGACCATGGTCCACGCCGAAAACAGCGACATGATCACCTGGATCACGGCCCGCCTTGCAGAGCAGAAACTCACGGCTCCGTACTACCACGCTATCAGCCGGCCTAACATCGCCGAAGATGAAGCAACGTACCGCATCATCGCACTTGCCGAGCTCTCTGATATCCCCATTCTCATCGTCCACATGTCGTCCAAGACCTCTACCGCGCACGTCAGGAGCGCGCAGACAAGACTTCTGCCTATCCACGCGGAGACGTGCCCCCATTACCTCTATCTCACAGCCGATGCCCTGAAGCCGTCTCACCCGGCCACTGATGGATTCTCCGGCGCGAAGCATATCTGCAGTCCGCCGCTGCGCGAGGACCGCATGGACTTGGACGCCATGTGGGCTGGTATCGCCAACGGTACGTTTACGACGTTCAGCTCAGATCACGCTCCGAGTAAATATGATCATCCCGACGGCAAAAAGGCGGGCTTGGGCAAGGAAGATGGCTTGATGAGGTACGACCAGGTTCCCAATGGGCTCCCCGGCGTCGAAACGCGACTGCCACTGTTATTCGAGGGCGGGGTGTTGTCGGGTAGAGTGACGCCGCAGAAGTTTGTCGAGGTCACAGCGACGAACCCGGCAAAGCTATACGGGCTGGGAGAGACCAAGGGCGCGATTGCCGCGGGATATGATGCCGACTTTGTTATTTGGTATCCAACAACTGAGCAAGTTGCTGCCAGCGGCGGTATGGGCTCTGCAAAGATGAAACCATTCGTCTTGGAGAACTCAATGTTGCATCATGACATCGATTACTCGCCTTTCGAGGGGATGAAGTTTAACAATTGGCCGCGTTACACCATCTTGCGAGGCAAAGTGGTCTGGGACCGGGATGGCAGCGGTATTGTTAGCGATATGGGATATGGCGATTTCTTACGACGTGGAAAGAGCACCCTGAGCAAGCCGAGGAATCAATGGGTGAACGAATTCCAGCCATTGCCGATGAAATGATGTAAGCCGGTTCGGTATCAATGGCCCTCTCACTAGGTAGTCACTGAGAGATATTCTACGTCCGGCGCTGCATCACGGCTCGACCGGCCGTAGTAAACAACCGCTTACTTTACCTATTTGACGCATCGCTACCTCAGGCAGCTGAGAAATCATCCGCAGCCAAGAAACAGATGTCTTTGCCCCTAACCCTATCACTTCAAAGTAATATTGGCTTCACATACCTGGGTTTCCAACGTTTCCAACGATTGAGTTGCCAGATGTTCTAGCGCGATAGCTGAATTTGTGTAACCTATCACACAGCGACTTTGGGGCGAAAGTACCCCTTCAAGATTCTAGAGTGTTAACCCATGTAAGGTATTACACAAAACCACAAGCGGCTGCCAGCCCTTTGGTCTTGCTTGCACAAAAGCACACCCCGGTGGGATATATAGCGGAGCCACAGTGCTGGTCTAGCCAGAGAATCTCCGTTTATTGAGCCACCGGAATCGATTCCGGAGCTTCGGGATGTCCGGTCCGAAGCGACCTGCAGAAAACCCCGGCCTTGAACATGCGTCTCTACTACTCTAGAGCTTTATCCTGGCGCAAGCTTGTTTTCCCAGTCGTAACAGGTACTCTCAATTGGTTCCTGAGCCCATTGCCTCTCGCCTCTGCATGGGTTCGTATTTGACAACGGATTCCACGTCACAATGCCATTTCAGGACACAATAATTGTTTGATCGATCCATGTAGACGAGAGTTGCGCCGCTTGACTAGAAATGAAGACTAATCGTGTTCCAGCTGATCAGCTTGAAGACAACTGATGCAAGAGCCACGCTCAAGAAACAGGCGGTCCGAGTGAGTGTGCCGGAACCAGACATTCGGGAAGAGCTGACGCCTGAAGGCACAAGGTCTCGGTGTGCGTGCTGAATAACCCCCACCAACCGCGGCAACAAGACTGATCGGGAAGGAGAACTGGCTTTTTATGCACAATATGCAGCTGTGCCGCACACTAAGACGCAGCCGGCGAGACATTGGAACCAACAGACACCACAGCACAGCACCAACATTTCATAACTCGCCAAGCTGCGGGGGTTTAGCCGTAGTTTGTCAGACTCTTCTAAAAACCCCGCGGGCCCGGGTGCGACACGAGGGTGGTTTGAGTTTTGATCAATTTTCGCGCTCTCGCCATTTGTATGTGCGACTTCGTTGCGCTACAACCGCAACTCTTCTGTCATGGCCGACTCAACCTCAAAACCTACGCCGCCGGCAGGATCACCTGCGGCCCAGCCTCCACAAGCGGACAGATCTCCCCCAAAGACCAGGACTCCGTCGGACGCAGCTGGGCTATCCCCCGCTGGAGCCACTGACCTAGAGACAGATATCGCAATCGATGATGGCGAGTCGGTGCGTGAAACACACAGTCCTTGCTCACTACGCGTGTACTGAATTCTTTTACGTTAAGGACAACGCGTCTACCATTGACGATAGAATGTAAGGCTCTAAGAAGTCTTGCCCCAAGTTGAAATCAATTCTTCATAGTGCAAATCGTCTAATTCTGCAGCTCCTCATACACCGCATCTTTATCCTCTTCAGTCGTTGACTACCCCACCGAGCACGGTCGCCGTTACCACTCGTTCCGATCCGGATGTATGCTGGCACCGATATTGTATCTCTCGGGAACCTGACTAACTGTCTCTTAAGCTTACATCCTTCCCAACGATGGAGTAGGGCACTTAAGACGATACAGTCGCTCCTGATTGATGTAACTAACGTTAAGACGTTCAGAGCGAGATGGACCGACTGGACTTTTGCCACGCCTTGTTGACAAAAACAGTCGGAGACAAACTGTTCTTGGCTCCGATAGATGAGGCAAAAATGCATCGAGTCCTTGATGTCGGCACAGGAACTGGCATCTGTGATACAACACCAAAGCTCCTCAGTCGCTGTATAGAGGGCTGACTGGCAAGTTTAGGGGCCATTGAGATGGGTGATAAGTACCCCAATGCGGAGGTATACATATCCTTCTGATCTTACAAGCACTTGCGATTTTATGCCCGTACTAAACACTTGCTGACGAGTTGCCAGATCCTCGGAAACGATCTCAGCGCCATTCAGCCAGCTTGGTAAATCTCGACGAGATATGGAAACTCTTAATGTACTAACTCCAAGTAAAGGATACCACCGAACGTCAAATTCGAGATTGATGACGTCGAAAGCGAGTGGCTTGGACAGAAATACGACTTTATTTTCAGTCGGTACATGTGCGGGTCCATCGCGGACTGGCCAAAGTACGTGAAGCGCGTCTATGAGTAAGCCACCCCTACACTTCTAGCTTTCTAGGCTAGACCAATTCTAACTTGAAGTATTCGGCAGTAACCTGAACCCTGGCGGTTGGGCCGAGTTCCAAGACTGGAGTTTCATGATCTACTCCGACGATGGTACAATCGAGGGCACCGAGCTTCTGCGGTGGGTCGACCTTTTCATGGATGCCTGCAAAATCTTTGGCCGAGATGGGCAAATCGGACCCAAGCTAGAGGGTATCGTGCGTGAGAACACCGCTTTCATCAACGTTCACCACCAGCCGTTCAAGATCCCTGCTGGTCCATGGGCAAAAGACCCTCATCTCAAGGATATTGGAATGCTGGAGTTGATTCAGCTGTTGGACGGTCTTGAAGGCTTCTCCCTGCGCCTTCTTTGCGGAGCTCTTGGGTGGACGAAGGAAGAGGTCCTTGTCTTGTTGGCTGGTGTTCGGAAGGATTTGAAAGATCCCAAGATTCATGCGTGGCTGTACTAGTAAGTTTGATGCCTGATGAGACCTAGGAAGAAACTACCTCGATGCTAACTACTTCGAAGTAACGTGGTATACGGCCAGAAGCCAGAGAAGGAAGAAGAGTGACGACAGGAAGTGAGAAATACGTTTTGCACCACGCAACTCTACGGGGAGTTCATTCAGGTTGCGACTGAAAAACATCTTCTGTAGAAAGCCAACACATTTTCGGAGGCTGGTTTTATACAACAAAAGGAAATCTATCAAGCTAGTGATAGAGGCAGCTTGCAACAGTACTACCCAAGTATGCCTTGCAGAAAACCCGTAACGCATAATTAACGCGCGACTACTTTGATCTAAGTAAGGTGAAATCTTGTCCCAGTACATGGAAGGTAATCGACTTTAACGTACCTATATCACATCATTTTCCAGATAGCGCCGATATAGGATGCCTCCCTTTATCACAGGTTATGATGACTCAATTATCTACGAATTCCACCCTATTTCCTTTTTTCTAAGCTCTAAATAATATTGACCTAGGGCGGGACTAAAGAAAAGCTGGAGATGGATGTTACAACTCTATTTAGCAGTTGATAGGATAGGGACATGAACATGCTATGCATCGGACATGGAAGGAATGTCGTAGCCAGGGATAGCGCAGGGATTCTTCCCCGCTTTGTAACAAATCACTCATTCAAACTTTAGGCAACAACAACGACGACGACAACCTCGTTATGACTTCTATATGGTCCCTACAATAGTGATGAACACTAGCTCTGGCTCTCATACATACCCCCGCGGGAACTCATACCAGTGGTTGTACTCTCACAACTCAATCTTTAATGTCGCCTTCGCTACCTGTCGCTTTCGAGGCGCTAGGAGGTCCAGCCCTTTGCGAAAGATGTCTCCCCGTTCTCTTGAACGATAGCATTGATGATTTCGTCGGGGGAGATTCCGATACGTCGGAGGCTTCTGTAACACTGAGACACAAAGCTGAGGGCGGGGGTGAGATGATCATGTTGGGATCGCCTTGCCAGTGGAAAGACTCGCTGCCTTCACTGCCGGTGCTGGCTGAGTCTTCTGAGAAAGGCTGCCATTTGTGTACTTTCGTCCGAAAACACGTCATTAAACGTGGTATAGACTATAGGGGAGATGTCTATATCAATGGCGGATACATATGGGGTGCTGACAGAGACGTGTTTGGCTCGAAACCGAACGAGGAAGGTCTTGTATTTTGGCGATGTGAAGTATACAAACGCCCCGAGCAGGAGTTTCTTGCGGCTATTACCTTCAATATCGAATCCGATAGCGGTAGGTTCGCCAAATTTCCGAGCTCGCTATTGCCCGAGCTGACATTCCCATCCGAGCTAGATAGTGTTTCGGATTGGTTGCGAGTTGACGACAAGCGACGTCCTCGATTACTTGATCCCGCCAATATCGACTGGATAAAGTACGAGCTCAAACGATGCCTGAACGAGTGTCATCACTTCAAGGAAGACACGACCTTCATTCCAACAAGGCTCATAGACGTTGGCAGCACTGACGTAGACGTCCCTCGCCTCGTCACTTCGGATATCCTGCACAAAGAAAATGAAGAGAAACTTCACGGGGTTGAGTATGTGACACTTAGTTACTGCTGGGGCTCCAAAGAAGATGCAGCTGAGCAGCTGAAGACCACCAGAGAGAACATAGCAGAACACCTTGGGGGTATACCACTCGACTCTATGAGTCCGGTTGTGAGAGACACCGCCATCACCTGCAGAGCTCTCGGTCTACGATACCTTTGGGTGGATGCTCTGTGCATCATTCAAGGAGACGTAGAAGACTGGAATACGGAAAGCTTGACCATGGGTCGTGTCTACTATTGCTCGACTCTGACCATTTGTCCGTTGGCGTCTACGTCCTGTTTGCAGGGGTACCTTGGTGAAAGGGCCTCGGGTTTTGACGTGCCATTTCAGTCAAAAAGACGCGAGAGCGTTCGCGGGACCTACACATTCTTCCCATCTTCGGATGATCGGAAGCCTATCTGGAACTCTTCGGCGCTGATTAATGATTTGAAGCAGGCAGTATGGGAAACCAGGGGCTGGACGTTTCAGGAGAACATGTTGTCAACCAGACTGCTCTTTATCGGGCCTGGGTTGTGGCACTTTGCCTGCGAAAACGGCTCAATATCTGAGAATTCATACGTGAACCTCGGATCAGTCGTTCATGGATCCTTGAGACCCCTTGTCAACATAGCACGAGAGCCGAAGCCAGATGATCCTATCGACGTTTGGCGTAGAGTGCGCAACGCCTACGCCCGATGGGAAGAGATACTGGAGATTCAGACAAGATCGTGGAGCTATAGAGATGACCTCTTAGCTGGCATAGCAGGATTGGCCGAGGAATGTGCCAAGATTACGGAGGACACCTACCTTGCCGGTCTATGGATGAATGACCTGCAACACGGGCTTGTTTGGGAAATACTCAACCCAGATGTTGGTAACCTCGAGACAACACTCCGGCAGAAGAGTGATCAAAAGCCTTACGTGGGCCCGTCTTGGAGTTGGGTTTCTCAGCTACGGCCGTTTGAGGTTTTGCCATGTCGGCGTTACAATGTGGACAATCCTAGGCCACAAGAGAAGCTTTCAAACAACCAAAAGCTTATGTCATTATCAGACACACTGCCAACCCATGTTCGAGCCGAATACACCATTACCGGAATTCACATGGACCTGCAATGGCGCAGCCCGTTCGGTCGACTTAATCCCAATTCATACCTTCGAATGCATGCATCATTGGGTGACTTCCCCTCAGATGTGAATATCGAACCCAAGCGCAAGGGGAATCCCCCGATCGGATACTTCTCTGATGGAAGTGGCCTCTGCATGTTTGACTGGTCCGTAGACGCCGCTACGATTCAACAGCCAGGCCATATGAAGCTCTTGTTGACTTCTAGTTGTTGTTTCAAGACCAATAATTGGGGTAAACTACGATACCTATCCAGTCTGCGAGACGGGCCTGGGAGGTCTTTCCCTTTTCCAGAGAGTGAAACAGTCTTCAATTGTGAAGACTGGCGAAGGACAGAGCAATGTTCCTTCTGCAAAGATAGCGAGGCTCCGAAGACTGTTTGGGGGCTCATCGTTCATCCAGCGGATCGCCTCGAAGGCTATTATCGAGTCGGAATATTTCTGATATTCGCTGAGGGTGCTTATGGACGCGTCTTTGCAACTGGAAACAAGCGAAGCGTTCTCTTACTTTAGAAGTCCTTGTGGGTTGAATACATACAAGTACAGTAAATGTTTTGCTCAAGACATTGAAAGGCACTAAGGTGCTTTAGATAGACGTCGATCCAAACTCTCAACTCCCAGGGAAACGAGTTTGCCCGTGAAGTATCCGCAATCACGCAATCCACCACTAAGACATAGGAACTCCCCTTTCTTGTCACTGCTGCCTTACGTACATCAGAGTAGCTATAAGAAGGGAGACTTATGCTGTTGCCAATGAGCGCGACAGGGGTAGCAGCCACTGCCATTGCAGTCATAGTAGTCATGTCGATAAAAATAGGTTGTCGGGACTTGATGAAATGAGCGGCAGATGACTTTGTCATGTATTATTTGACACTCTCACACACTGTTCACCAACATAATGATAGATCAGCTGCAACAGTTGCGAGTATTTGGGCGATGGTTTGTGATAACTCACAACCAAAGTCCAAATTGCCTCCCAATGACTCGCGGCAACAGGTCGACTCTGGCTCGTGCGACTCGTCGGCTGACAATCAGCTAACCAACGCTGTAGTACGCGCGTAGGGTCGCCTATTTCGCTGCGAATCGCTCGCTCGCTAGGCTCCCCGTCGTTGCCAGTGTTTCCCCATTCGAGCAAAGCCCCGGCTTTATGGTTATTTTCTAATGCAGAGCCAGCCCGGACCTGGTTCCCCGGCCATATAGGAATCGCAACCCAGCTCGGTAGTGTGGCGACGATTTTTCAGCCTCACGGCAGTGCGTGTGTCACGACCGGACCATGGCCGAATATGACTGAAAAGCTGGAAGCTAGGACACTCATCAATGCGCTGTTGAGGCAATTGGTCTGGTCGCATTGGATGAGGGTCTGTTAACGTCGCAATTGAGGTGGCTTTTCAATAGCTGACGCTCGGATCGCTAGATCGGCGTGGAAACCCCCCTGACTGGCGACTGGGCGCTTGGGAAAGATGACATGTCATTGTGTTTCCTCCTTGGGATGGCAGATGGGATACGGACTGGACCCCGTACTGACGGATTTTTGACCGGGGCACACCCGGACCACGTTCAGATGTGATCAAGCATTGGGGTTTTCATTCATCTTCCACGATTGCTACGAATACTTTATGTTACGTGCTTCTTGCCCAGCATACTACTTGGGGGCCATTTAGCATTGCATGCTTTTCTCGCCTATCGTGCTCACGACTCATGATCATAACGCCATAGTTCATCCCGAAAAAAGTACAATGAAGACTCGGTTTTAGGCGTACGTCTTCACCATCTTCAGCAGAGCCTCCTCAACCTCCTTCGGGCTGGTGGCGTTCAAGTAGTGGCCACCGCCTTCAACCAACGTCACCGTCGCCTCCGGGGCGGAAGTGAAGAGCTTGATCTGCTCACCGGGGATGTTGACACCGAAAACAGGGTCGGCGGTTCCCTGAGATTTCGTTAACGAGGCGCTCAGAGATACAAGTCAGACGTTCAGCCGGATTATCACATACCTGGAGCCAGTAGACGGGGCACTTGATGTCTCTCAGTCTCAACAGCAGGCCGTCTCTCGACAAAAGGTTACCCAGAGCCATCTTAAGCTTCTTGCGGCCCTCATCACCCTTGTAGACAGACTTAAGGGTCTTTGTCCAGAACTCAAGGGTCTCGGGTGGGACAGTGCCTGAGAAGCCCAGGCTGCCAACCATGCCGCACCAGATATCGTCAACGACGAAGTCCGGCGTCGGGGTGGCACTGGACCACCCGTCGTAAAAGGCCAGGAGCTGGGCCTTGGGGTCCCAGCAGCCCTTGACACGCGAGTCGGCT